GGGGCCCCACGGCAAGGGTGTACTGGACCTGAGGCGTCGCGTTGGAACATGCACTGCTGCCCTGACGCCACACTGGTCGTTTAGAGTTTGCTGAAGTGTTTGAATGGTTTGCCAACCGTTCGTGAGGTCGGTAAGGCGCCGGCAGGACATGTATTCTTGCAAGCGAGTTGAATCTGTGTTGTGTGCTGGGAATCGGCCCGAAATCAATGCTAATAACCTTAACGTGCATGTGAGGGTTAGTTCGGCGCGATGTAGTCCGATCAAGTGCGACCTATATGTAGAATCGATCGTCGTGGTGCGTCGTCGCGAGGGAACGGTTGACGTCTGAGATGCGTTCAAGTTTTGGCCATCCGATTCAGTGCATGCACGGGGTGGTGCAGCATGGAGGTCCACGTAAGAGAGGAATTCATTTGTGCAGGATGAGGGGGGGGAAGGGTTCCTAATCGATGCGCTGCCATCACAAGAACTCACTGCACCACACACCCTCCCGTAAAGATCACAGTGTATCGTGGGTGGGTGTCTCCTTGGACGAAGCGCGAGTCCATTGTGACGACTCCTTCCCCTGTCGCAAGTCGGCGGCGATTCGTTGCCACAACACGGACGAGCTCAGTCAAGGCTGAGGGTTGTATTTGATACTGGCACGTTAATGGACGATACAATCGTCGATCGTGGTGTACCCAGGTACGTAAGACACGTGATGAATCGCTCATGGAGGATGCCAACGTCAGGGGGACCTGGTGGAAGCAGAGTCCAGGTCTGTCGAATCAGCAGGGCATGCTACGGCATTTGACACTCGTCGGTTCGACGACACACTTGCCACTGCCGTTCATGTCCGACGAAGAAGCACCTCATGTTGGGCATGAACGTCCCGAAATTGTGTTTCTTCCGTAAAATGAGTGATGACTTCCATGTCTCCTCGCCGTGTTTCGACTGGTGCACGCCGCAGCCGCCTCACTGCGCCATGACTCGACTCCATGCATGCCATTCGCGTGGGCTCTTTTAACACCCCAGCAGGGGAATTTCACTTTATTTAAGGTATTTCGAGGGCGACCAACATTCCAACCCGAGTGTGCGAGGTGGTCGGCACTGAGCATTTCTTCGACCGGCCACCATGTTCAAGTTCTGCCCCGAGTGCGGCGTCAAGGCGTCTGGAGGTAGCGCCAAGTTCTGCTCGGAATGCGGCTTCCGATTCTCAGTGCCATCAGAAGCACCCCCCCCTCTTGCTGCGGATCCCATCAAGCCACCAACCACAGGAGGAAATGCCTTGCCCGTGGCTGTTCCAATGTCCATGCCACTGTCTAAAGCCGCGACGTACCTTCCTGTCGCACAGGTTGTAGTTCCTCCAGCGGCCACTGGTGCCGAGGCACAAACTATCCTTGCGCAATGCATGGACACAATTCGAGCTGCGCGTGGGGGGAACAATGAAGCCGGAGTCAAGGCATTTCGGTCCAATTGCAAGGCGTACGGACTCAGCGAAATCGATGCGTCAGCTTTCCATGCAAGTTTGGTCGCAGAGATGGGTGCTGAGTCGGCATCACTGCTCGTGCCGCATCTCGTGCGATTGATTCCAGACGAAGAGAAACGCCGTGTTCTCCTTGAAGTCGATGCAGCTTCGACGAGGGACCAACTCCAGCGTATGAGCATCAGCAGCGACGGCGACTCGGACGCATCTCGTTCGTCGTTCAATGCAAATTCCAAGTTGTGAGTGATGCCTCCTCCGTGGCTCATACTCCCCAATGTGCTCAATACGTCATAGGAACCCAAACAGCTCGCGCGGGTTTTTGTCTGGGCGATATTCGGACCATCCCAACTGCGACATTTGCCGCGCCTCCTTCGATGTGTACAAACGTCGCCATCAATGGTATATCCACGATCTCTGTTGCAGGATGAGGTTCATTGGGCCGTGTGCTTCGTAGCCGGTTCTGCGGCATGTATGTGTGCAGCGCGTGTTCGCCGATCAAGCTCTTGATTCCTCTTGGCCAGCAGATCGACGGATGCCGTGGCTATGTAGAATCGGAGCCCCAGCGCGTGTGCATCCAATGCGCGCCTCGGCTCCACCCGTTGCAGGATGAGTTGGGTACGTCGATCTCGAGCGTTATTCGCGTCGACGTATCTCATTCGATCGGTTGGTCATGGTAGTCGCCAAGCATGGCCTGTTCCAACGAGACAACGAGCACCAAGCTGCCAGTCGCATCCATGTGTACACAATCCTGGATTGATGATGGACCTCATGGATATCCTGCAGACCATACAGCTCGAGTATGGAGAAAGAATGCCGCAACGCTGCCGACATAGTCGGCAACTTCTTTCGAGATGACTGGGGTGCCGCCAAGGACCGTAGTATCCCCGCCTCCTTCCTTGAGAAAGCACATGGCCTGGCAATTCTGACAATTGCCAAAGCTGGTTTCCTTATCTCGGCCCAAGCCGGGACGGGGCTTGTCATTGCCAAGTTGCCCGATGGCTCGTGGTCTGCGCCTAGTGCCATTGGCACCGTGGGTACGCACGTGTCGCAAGTTAGGGACTTGCTCACTCGTCGCAGGTATTTCGGGAGGGTTTGAAATCGGCGGCGAACTCGTCGAAGTCATGATCATTTTGTACGTCACAAAATGAACTGTGGTGCTACTTGAGCAGTTTGTTTTCATGCACTGGATAGGGGGTCTCCCAACGCCGTGAAAGTGTTTCACAAGGCCCAAGTCAACCTTGGCGCAGGTCTTGATATCACGGTGGGGCCGTTTGGTCGCGCTGCCCAAGCAGCGGCTGCGGTCGGTCCTGCCGGGTTGGGTGCCAACTATGCGTATTCCCAAAGCAAGGGATTTTATGCCGGATTATCTCTAACTGGCACAATTATCGCGGTGCGAAAGGAGCTCAATCTCAAGTTCTACGGACGCAGCTTGGAGGCGAGTGCGATCTTGAGCGGGGATGTACGTCGTTGTCTGCCTTTTTTGGTCCAACGATCGTCGTCACACGAGAATCGTAGGTCGAACAGCCCAACGCGGCCAAGCCCCTGTACGATGCATTGCAAAACGCCATGGAAGGCGTCAAAAGCTTTCGGGTACATCCGTCAAATCCACTTGAAACACGGTCGCTCAATCCAACATGACAGCTTGAAACGGCACGTCGCGTCGAGGCGATGGGGACTTGTCGTTCGTGTGGCTGTCGCACGTTCGTTCCGCACACGACGCAAGTGTGGAACAAGAACTGCAAAGCGTGTAAGCACATCCACTAGCGTTGGACCAGCTGCTATTTCGACGCTCGCGAATTGTCCGATAGCTCTCGCGTGCGGCACCCGACCCAAAACAAATATGCCATATTTCCACCACTCTATGTCCGTTGCAATGACGCGCTGTCAAGTGAAAGGGCCACTCAACGATTTACAAATAATGGGCTTACGTTAATCAATGACGTGGCAAGTCGACCCGGGTTCGATCCCACGACGTGCATTTTCCAACTTTGTGCAGACAGTGATTAGCACGTGACGAATCCATACACGAAATCCGTGCATTATGAAAATGCAAGTGTGAGGGTGCTAGTCTAGAGCGCCATCACGGCCACCGCAAGCGTCACTAAGGCCGTGGCGCCGACGGTGGTCGCAGACGACTTGGTAGGCGTGGGGGTGGGGGCAGCAGTGGTCGTGGTAGGCGCAACAGTCGTGGTGGCCGCGGGGGCTGCAGTAGTGGTAGCAGTCGTCGTGGGGGCTGCGGTGGTGGTGGTCGCCCCAGGAGCTACGGTGGTCGTGGCGGTCGTCGTGGGGGCTGCGGTGGTGGTGGCGGTCGTCGTGGGGGCTGCGGTGGTGGTGGCGGTCGTCGTGGGAGCTGCGGTGGTTGTCGGTGTGTTGCAATACGTGATGACGTCCCCCACGGCCGCGTAGAGGTCCTTATTCGAGTCCGTTCCGTCCGTGCAGCTCGCCAGCTTCGCTTTCGTGGTCGTGGCAAGGTCCACGCAGGCCGAAGTCGCACAGTAGTCGGTGAGAGTACTGGGCGTCGCGGTGTCCAGAGTCTGGAACACAGTGTACCACGAACTGCCCGCCGTCGCGCTGATCCCTGTCGCGCAAGCCGAGTCGAGAACTACGACATGCTTCGCCCAAATGTTGTCGGCGATTTGAGCTTCGGTGCACGTGCCACCGTTGGCGGCAACAGCAGTGTCCAATGTCCCGCAGGCTGTAGCTAGCCCCGCGACCTCGGCCGTGTAGCTCGTCGCACTAGTGACGGCGCATGTCGGGTAGTTGGACGCGGCGACTTCATCCTTGCACGTCGTGGACCCGCACAGCCCATACTTGTAGATGGTGTTGGCGTTGCTTCGGTAATCTTCAAAGACGGTGGCGTACGACAGCCGATCGCCACCTTGCAGGTCGTTCATGCACGCTTGAGTGAACAAGACAGCGTTCGCGGTCGTGACGTCACTGTCGCAGTCGGCGCGGGCCACAGCAGCCAAGCTCAAGACTGTAAAAAGGTGGGTGAATTGCATGGTCGACACGATGTGTTGGGTATGTTTTGCTTGGCGAGGCGAGAGGCAAAGTGAGTCCCTGGCGAGATGAAGGATGTCAGCCTAACTTTAGCGCGGACGCCATCTTGGATCTAATTGTGGCGTGGCCGACAAGGTGGCCGTTGTTCGACCTTGCTGCTGGTATGGTCTGGTGAAACATGAATGATGCGATATGAGAGTCGCTTACTTTGGAGCCAATCGATCGCGTTGGGGCGGCATCCATCTTGCACGATGGGGGTAACCGCTTCCAACCAAGAGCGCATGCCATTGTGACATCCGAGTTGGTTCTCGGTCAAGCGTTCGAAGGGTAGCCGGTTGGACGAAACCCCGACGATTGCCGTGGAGGACGTATGTGACGTGTCTGTGTGTGTATTTGCGCTGTGCGCGTTGGGGGGCTTGGATGCCTTTCACGGGGCCCCACGGCAACGGTGTACTGGACCTGAGACGTCGCGTTGGAACATGCACTGCTGCCCTGACGCCGCACTGGTCGTTTACAAGTTTTTCACGTGTACTAATTGGTATCGAGAAGTAAACTACACCAGGCAATAGGACGAGCTCCCCGAATGCCGCTCCATACTTGCACGCCACATGTTGACCGAAATGCGCCGATTTTCCGATTGGCGTGGGAGTGTTCTTCTGGACCGTTGCGATAACGGTGGCAAAGATGTGATGTATGGCTGGAAGCATCGACGTGACCAAGGTGTTGCTCCTGCATGTCTAAGGGACGACCGCCGATGGGAGATAGACGTGGCAGGATCAGCGATGACCTCGCCTTGTTGCAGATCGAGTTCGAGACCTAGGTACTGAGGCATCCTCGAAGTAATCTCCACGGATGCTCAGAGTTCTGGGTTCACCATGTGTACATGCATGGGGTGATGATCGTTCAAGGCCAAGGTGCCGTTGGCGGGTAACAACTTGTGCTCCATCCTCTCGAGTGTGCACCGTTTGGTGGCATTCATGCATTTTGGTTGAATCGTCATGATATTTGACAGAAACTCATCGTTTTCTTGATTGCATGGAAAATCGTCCTAAACCTTACGCCGTACTCAGAGGCGCACCGTAGCCGATAATCCAGTTTGCCCAACAGAGTCGTACGTTGCTGGTTTGTTGGTCGCCGTTGTTTTCAGGCGAATTGCAGCTACGAAAACGTGGCCATCGGTCCCACGAGGAAACTGGTGCATCCAGATGATTCAGCGTATTTTGGGATCGAACATACTCCCACTTGATTCCCACGTCCATGAATGCGTGGTGGCAAGACCGCGCTCGCTCGCATCAGCAGTGTGGCTTTGAAGACCAGTCTGTGACCCTGGGCTTCACCAAGCATGCCCCGACAAGCGGAATGGACATTTCGACCATGACGTGACTTGCTTGTCTTGCCCCGACAGAGTGACAGAGTGACCCACCCTCGGCACACCGCATCCTGCCAACGTGCGCCTCCGACGTCAACCTCTTTGCGAGATACATCTGCGCCATATGTACATGAATGTGAGAAGACTTGGGGTGTGTTGAATCAACTGGATCAAAGTGCATCACGGATCAACACAGGACAAGTGGGCACTACGAGTCGAGAAGACCTGTCGTCTCTGGGACCAATTCGTCCATGACAGCGCTCTTTCTATCTCCGTGGCACCCCAACGTCATGGCGGCTTCAGTCGCCATCGATCTCTCCGTCGCACACTTGCCATGTTTGGCAATGTACATCAGAGCAGGCAACAGCATGCCAATCGCACGTTGGTCGATGTCGCTGCAGCTGTGATCGACAATCAAGGCCACGACTTGAAGGGCCAAATGTCGCGTCGAAGCCGAGGCCAGCGCTGCCAGAATTGCATCGACAGCGCCATCCACCAACACAACATCGTCAGGCTTGAATGTGTGGGGAATTTGTCGGTAGAGGACGTCCAAGGCCGCCCGTCGAGTCTTGGGGTTTTGTAGGCGAGATAGCACCGTCGCCAGCGACTCGTCATGTTCTTCTTGGTTGCTCGCAAACACAACGCGCTTCAATTTGGCCACTGCGATCGCATATATGGAAGTGGCGGGATGGATGGCGGGGCTCACACCCAACATGCGCAAAGTAACCTGCGCGACGTCTGCGGATGCACGGTCGCGCTGAGATGAGTATTGCTTGAGCATGCGAACCACACCAGCGTCGTCGGTGAGACTCGTTTGGAATGGTGGGTGGTGGGCCAAGTGGTGCACAACCGCCAGCGACAACGTTTGGAGGTCGGTGCACCGATCTAGGCCGCGTGAGTTCTCGACCGGAGAGGGTCCCATCCATTACCTTTCGGTTTGGCTAATATGTCCAACAGCAACGGAACCCCTCGACTCTTGACCCCGACCATGGCCCCGGGCTCGAAAAAAGTCACGTTCGCAATGCAACGAAGGGCGTGCAACTTGTCGAGGTGCGTCGTCGCGGAAGAACCGACACACGTCGCAAGGGCATGCATGGTCTCTGGCTCGTGCGTCATCATCGACACAGACTCGGCTTGAGTCGCTACGTTGGCCAGCACGGCCACCACGTGATGGGACGGGGCTTTGGACAACAGCTTCAGGAGAATGGCGACCCCGCCTGCCGACAAGAATGCTTCTTCGCATCGTCCGCGTGAAGTCAGTGTGTTTTGCAGCAACGTTAGCGCGAGGTCGACGAAGGCGGTGCCGTCTCGACTTCGACGCACAAGTTGCTGAACCACCCAAGCCACGACAGGAACAAACGAATCGACACTCGACGAGATCAGCGTCAAACGCGCGAGGGTTTCGAGCCCGAGTAGAACCAAGTCGTCCCGTGCCAGGATCACGTGCAAAAGAGCTGCAACTCCTCCCAACTACTCGCTTCATGGTCAATTTCAACCTCGTGGCTGACATCAAGACAAGTTCTCGCCGCACCTCGACAATCCATTCGCGATTCGTGGCCTCCAGCGCAAGGTTGAAGCACAAGTGCAGGGCGGCAGTGTGGAGCGCTGGGTCCGTCGACGGCGACGTCAGAGTTCCCAGCACCAAATGGAGCCCACGGTTTCTGCTGAGTTGGCACCGGCAATCGTCGTTGATTGCAACGTTGTTGAGGGCTACGAGACACGCATTGGGGAGTCTATGTTGTTGGTAAAGAGTCCACAGGAGGGGCACCGCGCCGGCGTCGACCACTTGCAACGCAAACGCGTCGCTGATGTCGGCGGCTTTCGCGAGTGCCCGCACAAGGTGATGTTCGTGCTGATGGCGCCGCAGCATGGTCACAAGCAAGGGGATCAAAAACTCGGTGAGTTTCCTTGGAAGGACTTCCATCGAGTTGGCCAGCAGCCGCAGCGCGTGGGCTTGTTGATCGTACGACATGCCTTCAACGTCACCCACGACCGGCTGCAGCACCGTCACGTCGATGGAAAAGCCATCCAGTTCGTCCGACAAGTTTGCGAGAATCCACAGCGCATGCTCCTTGAGACGATCCGATCCGCCGCGCAACATGTCGTAGATTGCCGAAAGCCCATCTACACTCAGCATATTCAACGCGGTCTTCCAAGCGTGTGGCCGTTCCACGTACTCTCTGCCATCACCATCGAGCACGACGCTGCGTCAATATCTGTGATGTATGCCAGCCCTCGTAGCGCAAAGCTTCGTTGAACAAATGTGCCTTGACGTAACAGTTTGATGAGGGCCGCGACCCCGCCTTGGTCTCGAATTGCAGTCGCGATCGGTAGTTGGCGAAAGGCCAACAGACCCAGCAGGGCTGCCGCCAGTTCTTTACACGTTGGGGTCACCCCTAATGGAGAAATGAAGTGGGCGACGCGAAAACAAATGCAAACGACAATTTGGTGGGCATGTACAGAACAGGATTCCTTCCATGACGGGAGCAGCAGTACCTCTGGTCACAAGGGCCACGAGAGGTACAATCACGCCGCCAGCCACGAGCATGGGTGCCTCGGATGTCATGTTGAGCAGAGCTTGCAGTGTCCGCTCTTGCATGGGAGCGCGCCCGTGAGCGAGCAAGTCGACGAGACCTTCAATATCTTGACTTAGGACCATCGATTGAACATCGGATGTCGACAAGTGGATCGAATGTCGGGGTTGTCGTTTCGCTTGTGTCGTCGTAGTCGTGTGGGCAGGAGGGTCGTCCCCGGCTTCGCTCTCAAGGGCATAGCCATATTCTCGCCGCACGACAACGTCACCGGAACGCATGGGGTCGGCAGGCGATTGAGCAGGGATTATGGGGGGCGACCCGGGGGAGATCGGACTTTCCAGCGCTGCAGCGGCGTCAGCGGTGTGATCTAGTGGGGGCTTGACGACCGAGCCACAGTTGTGACAAAACACTGCTGTGCTCAACAAACTCGACGTGCAATGCGCACAAACTGCAGCTTGTGGAGCTAAAACGAGAATCGCATGCAGCGATTCGACGATGGCCCGAATCAATGGCCGATCCGTTGGGTCGCCTGCACACATGGATACAATCAGGGCATGCAGCTCTGGTCCTCCATCTTGACTAGTATCTGGCAGCATGTTGCGTCGAATGGCTTCTCGGACCTACCACGCTCGATTCAAGAGACTCCTTCCTTGTCGAAATCGTGACTTTACCATCGGATCCGAAGTGCAATCTGGAAAGGGAATTGTTCGCGTCACCGCTTCAATGAAGCACATGCCGAGGGCGTATATATCGGTAGCCAACGTCCGACTGCTCCCTGCTGCGTCGAGACACTCCGGCGCCGTCCACCTCAAGCCCCCTGCGTGGTGATCGCTCGAGTCGTCGCGGGGGCGATCTCCCTTGTGGAGGTGAAAACTGCATCCAAAGTCGGTCACCTTGACATGGCCATCGTGCGTGACGACCAAGTTGTTGCATTTCAAGTCACCGTGGACGATGCCTTGACCCTGTATGTACTGGACACCGAGGCTTGCTTCCCACAGCAACCGCACCAGCTCTGCTTCTACAACACGCAGAGAGAGAGTTCGCATCGGCGGCATGGGCTGCATAGTACGTACGATTTACGTCGTTTTCTGCCAAATACTGGTCGAGGCTCGTGTGGGCCACTTCACACAGCGCAAACCGGGTCGCGCCGACATGACATGCGCCGTACAGTCCAACCACGTGCGGATGACGCAGACTAAACCACAGGTCGACCTCTCGTTCGCAAGATACAGACGCATCGAAGCACTTGACCACAACTGGCGTGAATGATCGCCACACGCCATGGAAGACACTGGCGGTGGCGCCTCGTGCAAACGCAGCATGGTTGATGCTCACGTCTTCGGGGGCCACAAACCATGGCGGGACCGCCTCGATCGGCGCGTGAGACAGTCGCTGGAGAGTTTGGAACGCTTGCTTTATGAGCCGCCGTTGATGTTGGGACGCTGCGGTTGCTGTGTTGTTGTGATGTAAGGCATGAAGCAGGCGCAGCATGGCCTCGCGCTGCTTGCGCGAGTCCGTGCACTCTTCGACGAGGAGTCGATTCGAGTGGAGAAGCGCTGCCCACTTGACGGCTTCGTCCTTTTGGTCAGCGTCGTACTGGGCGCGCCAGTCGGTCATTTGCGCGATGTGGGCCAGGTTAAGCACGGTCAGCAGCTCATCGACCTCCTGGTGGAACACTGTGATCTTGGTGAGCACGGTTTCTTGGGTGAGCAGGCGAGCCAAAAAGTTGGACCCGAGGTATTTGGTCAGGAACGCGTCGAACGAGTCGAGAAGGTCAGTGTACCGCTTGACAACTTGCACGGACGGCAGCTGTCCTTTCGCCTCCATTGCCGTCAGTTGGGTCAAGAGTTCGTGGAGCCGGTCGCTCACGCGCTTGAAATGCGCTTCGTTCTGCGACAGTTGGTCACATTTCCCATTTATGCCGGCCAAGAACGACGCGATTTGCGGTAGGTTTTGGATCACAAGCCCGGCACCAGGCACTATGATGTTGGCCACGATTGCCACGGCATTCAGCGTTGCCATTCTCCGTGGGACTCGGGACCGTTGTCCGCAGCAGCACTAGCCTAATGCAAATCGAGCGAAGGTCGGTCGAAGGGAAGGGTGATAGCGAAACTGCTGCCGTTACAGCATGGGCATGAAACGGTTATGGTTCTGGCTGCCTCGGGCGGTGGAGACGAGTGCGGTGGGCAGTCAGACAATACAATCAAGGCGATATGCGCTTGAACAGGCCACCCCATACATCTTTATATGGACATGATCTTTTCTAGCGTCGTGCGCAGTGTCATGCGACCCGGAGCTATCTTGCATAGGCCACGGAAGGCACATTCCTCCTTGGTAGTACTGCAAAGCAAATTCCCGAAGCGGAGGATGTGCCTCCCGTGATGCGGTATTGAATGCGATTCTTCGATCCTGGGGGGTTTATATACCCCGTCCAAGCCACCATCCACGCAAGGCGCCCATGAGACCTTCTAGAGATGCACGAGTTTGTGTCGTTTCAGTTGGGGTATTTCTCAAGATCGTCCAACGAGTGAAAATATTCTTCTCTATCGTCCAAGTTGACTGTTTGTGAGGTATTTTTATTCCAAATCGTCCACTGATGCATGATTGGCTAAAATCTCATGTGCTTAATCTCCAAGTAAGTCCTAGGGGAGTCTTAGTCCTATCCATTCCGGAATTTCAGCGGCCCCTAGCAACACCGTCCGCACCCGCCGTCCACGACGCCACACCAAGCGCGACAGACATCGAGCGGAATGACCCAGCGACTTTCGATCTATACTCATGAACACTTTTTCCAACATGTCTCCGGCTCATGAGACTTTTAGCCAATCATGCCGCGATGGACGGTTTGGAATAAAAATACCTCACGAACGGTCAACTTGGACGATCGTGAGAAATATTTCCAATCGTTGGACGATCTTGAGAAATATCCTTTCAATTGCCACCATGTCTCCGTTTTCTCGGCCAACGACTTGAGATGCTTCATTAATTTTTTTCTAAAAGTATTTTTCTTATTTTTTTGCAGAATACAGACGTTATACAAATACGAAGTCTACATTTAAGAACGAATATTTCCAACTTGCTGAAACTTGTTGGACTAGTTTCCGTTTTCACTGATTGTGGCCGCGGCGAGCGTCGGCGTTATGGCCGTGGAACTGGTGCGTACCAACGCTGCTCATGCGTGCAACCACCCCTGACAAGTTTGTTGCGTAGATCATCGACGATGACACGGACATCAGCACTGTCGACGTGGATGCAGGCGGGGTGCGACGTAGTGTACGTGCCCCGAAGAAACCATCCCACTCGTACAAGGACGTCTTGGAGAAGGAGGACATCAGGTCTGAGGTCCTGAAGATTGAAAGAGCTTCCAAACGAGTGGAAGCAGGTCAAGCGGAGGCGCTGAACGTGGACGTGGCGAGGAAACCTTCCAAGAAGCGAAGCCGAGGAACGGAGGACGATGGCGTAGGATTCCCCTCGCAAAGCATCGTCACATTGACCATGCCGGAAGACATCGCGGTTATCGTGAACACATACAAGCCATGCATTGTGTGCCACGAATTGCTCGGCGTCGACGGCTTGTCGTACTGCCTCGATTGTACCAAGTACTTTCACGGATTGTGTTTGAAAGGCTCAACCATTCCATTGAACTGTTCGTCCTGCGAGCGAACACGCGAAGCAAGCAACACGGCGTCCAAATACAAGAACGAGCGTGTGTTGGGGGAATACATCCGAGTGGGTCCTTCGAAGAACTTGTTTCAGTATCGAATGACGTTGTTGCATCGATATACCCACCCTCATTTGTACAAGGGCTTGAAACACACTGCCAAACCGTCCACGCCGCTGGCCACCCCTGTGAAGGCGTCCCCAAAGAGCAAGAGCGCTGCGGGGAAGAAGCATCACAAGAAAAAAGCTCCCTTCCGTGGCGTCAAGGATTCTACGACGACACAAATTGGAGCGAACGAAGCAGACGATGCCGATGCGTTCTTTGAGCTAACTTCAGATCCTGTCGCGTTGCCGAACAAGGCAGTCGACTCCCCAAGAAAGAAACCCCGACCTGATGATCGAGTCACGGCTATCGCGGTCGGTCTGGAAGACGACGAAGCCAGGGACAACGGGAACGATGCCCTGGACGGCAGTGACAGCAACGCATTGCCGAACGAGACCGACATCACCGCGCCACCACAGCCGTCTGCGGTGCAAGAGACAGTGGAAAATCTCATAGAAATGGTGCTCGTGAAAGTCGATCGCCATCCCGACGGAAGCATTCTCGAGGAAGCGTCGACCGCGGACTTTTCCGATTTGCGCGAGTTTCATGGCATTCCACTCGTGACTTCGCCACTCGTCCCGCTTCGACCAGTCCCGACACCGACCCCACGAGGTGCCCACGACCTCGAAGACGTCCCAATGCTTTTTGAGAACATCGTGGACGACGAGCATCACGAACCGGCCGAAGTGACGGAGTCGTACGAGTCGGCGTGGCCGGCTGGCATGATGCCCGACTCCACAGCAGTCACCGAGAACCCAATTGCAGCTTCCGAGGACAGGAAAAATGCGTAAACAAGGACAGGTTGGATTGAATGGAGCATAGTCCTGCGTTCGTGCCGGATATGCCAGAACGGAGCAGCTTAGGCCAGTGTGCTGTAATTCCACGACTTCGCTTTCGTGGTCTCCGCCCTCGGTTGCGATGGGTGGCTGCACATGCTCGGAATCGGTTGACTGCTGCCCATGTGTCTAGGCAAAGGTGCTGTAGCGGACAACGGTGCCTTCTTTGCCAGAGTGCACTTGGGCTCGTTGTGGCGTTGTTTGGTCGTATTCGTCGGTTGATTCCATCTCGTTCCTGGATCGGGCGTGGGCAAATGGACTGATGTGGGGCACTTCCTCGACGCGTCCTGTTCTTTCCAAGCAAACCATCTCGTTCCAAAGCACCGTCGCCGTGTAGAACCTCATTACAAACTGTCGAGCTCTTGGCGTGCGTTCCGTACCTAGCTGCCAAACGATCGTTGCGGCATCAAACGTTCTCAACTTCTTGCTGCCATCCAAATGCTCATCCACGTGGACCAGATCGTCGCTAGCATGTCATGACAGAGTCTTCTCAAGGCCCTTCGCCAGCCGACCATCATCGGACAGCCGGATGAAGCTCACGGCACTGCATCTTGTCGGGACATCTCGGCCGCCTTCAATTGGTTGGATCCAAAAACGGAGATCTTTTCGAAACGGCGGCCGAGAAAGCCGCCTGTTCCACCGCTTGGCAAGGGGTAGCGGCCGGAACGCACACTCTCCAGCGTTGCCGTCGCGACCTCCCATGGACATTCCGGTAAAGAGCACGTTCTTTCCGCCCGTGCGGCTATCGCCTCGAGAAACCAGCGCCTACTATGCCAAGGCCACGCGTGCATTGGACAAAGTGCGCGAGGCGGCCACCACATTCTCGTGGAAGCGTGTCGAGGTCAGCACGATGCCCATCGAGGGTGTGCGTCAACGTTCATTTCAAATTGCATGTCGGTGTAGAACAAAGATGGCCTCGTTGTCGGCAAGGTGCACATTGTGGAGCAGCATGTGTCAGCAGCACCCCACCGCGTCGGGAAGAACACTGCTTGCCTGGTCATGCGCGGAACGACAACTGTCCGCGCGACGGTGGCCGAGATCGTGCACCTCCTAGGCGCCACCGACACCACGGACGCCCGCAAGTCCATGAATCGGTTGCATGGCCGCAACTTTGTGGACACGATGACGTTGGCGCGTATCGAGTGCAGCGACGACAAGATGGCGTCATGCCGGGTTAAGTGGGCGGCGTACAAAGAGGTCGACACAAACGTCGACTACTGCTTCCTCGAATACTCTGGCATGGAGCTGGATGTGCGTGGGAGTCCGCTGGGGTTTTGCATCCAGGCGTCGATCGACCGCCCGAAGGAAGTGCCGTCGTTAGCCGCTTTAGGCTTCCGACGGGACGAGTATCATCGCACGGGATTCCTAGTGTACCCATCCCTAGAGAACCCTGAAGCCGTACACGTGACTGCCATCGTACAGGGCAGCTCGAGCGACAAGTCATCGCTGGAGAAGGTCGAGTCCAACCTGCACCACCGCATCAGTCGGGTCCTACTCAGTCTTCCCGACTTTGTGACCATGCGCCGGCTCGGGGCGCTACCCGCAGTCGACCGAACGCAATGGATCCAAGATTCCAGTCGCAGGTTCTGCGCCGTGTGCCTCAAATCGTTTCATTTTGCTCGGAAGCATCACTGCCGCCTGTGCGGAGAAGTTGTGTGCGGGACGTGCGCCGCCCCGCGCGAAGTCGACATTCCGTCGCTGGGTTCCAGTGCCCTAGTTCGAGTGTGTTCGGTGTGTGTGGGTCGAGCCCATGCCGCAGCAGGACAACACGCAGCCATCGCGGCTACTGCCCAACGCTTCCCGAGGCAGCGTCCCCGCCAGTCTTTGCAGCCGGCGACGTCCCCCTCGGCGCTTTCTCCCCCATACGCTCAAGACGACGACTCAACGAACAATCAACTGGCTGTGGATGCATTTGATGTCGTGGACCGCAAAGCGCTGGTACGTCTCGATAAGCTACTGGCAAGGAAGCGGTCACAGAAAGGGCTGTTTCCAGGCAAACCACTACAAGAGCCACCTCGACCACCACGATGACGACACGGATAGCCGTACGACACTTGGCACGATCGATGCGACCGATGGCCATGGCAACATTGCGGATTTTGATCAAGTACGTCGTCGGTCGCGACGCGACCTCCATTGTTGATGTTGATACATTTGAATAGCCATTGGGGCCGCAGCAGCGGCTTCCATCCACCCATCGTCCCCATCAACATTTAACGACTACAAATAAGGCGCAACACATTCTGTTAGACTTGTCGGAGTTTGCGTCGAATGTGCAGCATCAGGTAAGTTTCCCGCTGTCACCACCGTTATCGCTGACATGGGTGGCTGGTAGCGTCCACACACAATCGAGTCGAGGCAAGACCAAGATGTCCAGCATTCCAAAGAGTCGACCGTCCTTGCAAACGCGCAAAACGTCCACGAGTTGAGCATGCGGCTCACCAAGATTCGAGAAATGCTGAATCAGAGCATGCCCCAGCCACCACCGCCGCCGCCACCGGTCCATTCGACAGCCTGGCTTGTCTTGAGTCCGTCGTCCGTGCAAATGCAGCTCTTTCACGGCCAACAGGACCGCGCGTTTGAATTGCTCGACGACAGCGACGACGATGACGGCCATAACGCTATCCAGTCCGAGGGTCAGCCAAGGCCGCCGGTGCAAGGGAGCGAATTGGAGACTCTAAACTCCGCGGACGACCGGACTTCGAGCATCTTTATTGGCGATGACGGCACGGCTGACGACTTGAGCTACTCGTTGCAAGACGACGAGTGTTCGAATCCACACGTAGATGAGCGCCACTCCATGTCGGGCGTTGACTCGAACGACGAAGGCATCGATATCCACGGTGACTTCCACGACGACGACGACGACGATCTACTTTACAGCCACACCATGCTCGCAGGGTCTGCCAAGAGTCCTATACACGTCCTCTCCGACAACGTGCCCATCAAAGTCGATGCCGCACTCGAGGCGGATGTCACCAACTCCACTGCTGCCCCGGCGGCGGCAAATGTTGACACGCGAGATGGCCAATCGAGGTCCGAAGTGGACGAGCTAAAGTCACAATTATCGGAATTGCGCAAGCTGCTTGCGAATGCCAACCAACGGTTGCATGCGGTCGAAGCTACCGTGACGCAGTCGCCACACGTCAAAGCCGCCTCGACCAAAATGGAAAAGGCCATTCGTGTCGTGGAGCTGCAAACGGGCAATGCCGCCACAGACCCGTGCGTCATGCAGCGACGACACGCTCATCGCGCGGTCGTGTTAGAGCTTCAAGCAATTATGGGGCTGGAATGAATTCGCTGTGGTCCAACTTGGCTACAACGGCGTCAGCCCATGGCGTGTCATGCGGTGTCGAACGATGTGCACGGCCACCGAGTAAAGTGTACTTAGAACGAAATACATCGAAATGTCTGCGTGGATAAAAGCTAAAAACCGTGGGGTGGCCATCAGTCTTGGTTGGGAACGGGAAGCTGCAGTTGCTTGTTGGACGCCTTGCGCTGCACCACGGACTTCTTGGACGGGCGGCGCTCGAAGCGACTGAGCGCGCCAAGGACACGAACCTTGTCCGCGTTGTGCTGAAACGTTTCCACGAGTTTGTCCTTGGCGCAAATGTGGCGGACGAACAGCGTTTGCAGCGACACGGCGGCGTCCGCGACAGACGGCGACGCCGGCGGGTACCGCACGATAGCGATGCGAAGTAGGAGTTCGAGAAAGTCGGTGAAAAACAGGAGCTTCTTTTGCACTTCCGGCGGTGCCATTTCGTCTAGGAGGAGCATCTTGGACGCAAAAAACATGTCACGAAGGTCGCGCTGCTTGAACTTGTCGTTCAGCACGTGAAAACTTTCCCTACGACCAATCGTTTGGGCTGTGTTGGACCGTGAACGGCATCGACGAACATGAGCGCAATGAACTCTTGAATTGCCATGCCGCGCGGCTCCCCGACGCGGCAGTACTGGCCGCTGTTGGCGGCAAACAGTTCCTTCAACTGCAGCCGCCCCACATCACTCAACCCAGTTGATGCGGCGGGTGTGATAGACGTACCAAGACGACGTACTCGAGAAAGCAGTCGCTGATTTCTTCCTTGTACAAATAGTTTGTTCGAAAGTCGTTTGGGTCGTCGGGCACCATCGAAGTCAAGTTTTCGTCCATGAGACGATGCAGGGCTTGAGCTGGCGACTCGCACGCGACAGCTACAACATGCCGGCATGAGCGCCCCTCGGTTACCCCGCCTCATCATATCACGCGAGGGTGGGAGCACGCATCGACAAGTTCATGGCCCTTACGTTTCGAGTTGCAGTACTTGTTGATCGCAATGCGGAACACGCACTCGAGAAACTCAAATCGCGTCAGGCTTCGATCGGGGTTGTCTTGCTGCTTGGCTTCGTCCGTGACTTCTAAGTTCGCCGCCACGAACACGTTATCCATGTCGGACGCCGTGCACCGCTCCGACGTGTCGTCGATCAAATGGCAATCGTCCAGGAATTCGTTGAACCCGGACAACGAAACACACACTTGGTCCAGGGCGACCTTGACTCCCCGCGAACAGTACTTGCGGTACAAGTGCCTGCACGCACGACCGCTCAAACTATGGGGGGGGACGGAGGCGGCGGGCGTACGTGATGGCGCGGTAGTGGATTGCTCCCGCCGCTTCCAATTCGCGCCGACGGTCCGGGTCCCGGACAATGCGATCCACTTTCGTATGTTTGAAGTCCACCGCGTACGCCTTGGCGACCAGCGCGTCTGTGTCAATCTATTCGCACACAAATACATCCCATCGCGATGTTCAGGTGAGAAGTCTGCTGTCCGTATGCGGGATGCGGTGAGTGAGAGAGACACTTACGGGCGCTTTGCTCGGGCTCTCCTTGTACCGCGACGCAAACACGGACTTCTTAATGTCCCATTTCAGCACCTTGATCGTGTTGGCCCCTGGCCGAGGCAGCGTTGCATGGCATGGGTTCGCCCCGTCGTATCTGGTCATAGCAATGTAATTCACCACCTAAACGCACGTGACGACTGGCAAGTCATTGCGACGTGCAAGTACTTGAAGCGTGCCAAACTTGGGCTCGTCTCCGTGGCTTCGCAAAAGCCGCGCCGTCCGCTTGTCCTTGAGTACCACGTACTGACGCTTGACGTCCCCGGGAGCCACCTACCGTTGAATCCGCTCGGAGTCAGCGCCCCATGTGCACTAGCACCACATGACAGGACTCAAGTGGGTACGTGCCTCCGTCTCGACCGTGATAAAGTACTTGGTCTTGCCGGGGGGAAGCATGCGATACAGGACAAACATGTCGCTGCTTCGGTGCATTTCGTCGCCGGACCAGTCGTCAATGCACAAGTGCAATTTGACCTTGGCTTTCGCATCCTGCTTGTGAGACGGTGTCCAAGCAAATCGATGTTCCGACCACCGGCCGCACAGCCAACACGCGCGATCAACGTACGGCCACCACGCGTCGAGAGTTGTCGAGTTGTTGGACTCCTGGTTGTCTTGGTGCAGCTCGAAATGCTTGATCGCGCAGTGCTTGTGTTGGGCTTGAAGGGCTATCGATGTCGTTTGCGGCCGCACAAACCCGCGAGCGTCGACGATGGCTTGGTTACCAACCATGTGAAGCCTGTCCAGACGATGCGCGTGATGCGAGTGTAGCTAGGAGACAGGGTCGACGCACCCGACGATGCTGTGATTCCCGACCAAGGCAGCGGCCAAAATCGTACACGCTTTCGTGTCGAGGGAGTTGTTACTGAGGTCGAGGTGGACAAGAACTTTATTGTTCGCCAGCGACGTCGCGAGCGCCGTTGCAATACTGTGGTTCGGGCACGAGTTCAAGCTGTTCCAAGACAAATCGAGAACACGGAGAGAGTTATGGTAGCCCAGCGCCTCCACAAGTCGCTGGGCGCCGAGGCCGCGAATCTTGTTCCAAGACAAGTAAAGCTCCTCTAGTTTGGCGTTTTCGACGAGCAACGTTGCAATCGCGAGCATACCTACGAGAACGTCGTGCATGACAACTCATGGCACCGTGGAGTGGACTGAGGGTCACTCACCAGGCGTCGAGAACTGGTTCTCAGACAGGTTTAGCCGTGTCACCGTTTGATTCTTCTTGAGTGCTAGCAGAGGAACGTTCATTCGATGGCTAGTCGGTGTGACAGAGACATGCATGGACACGGCGTACCGTCGCACAGCAGAGCCACGGCTTGGTTGTTGAGATGGTTGTGTTCGAGATTGATGTGGACGAGGGTTTTTGATCCCGCGATCAGAGCCGACAACGAAGTCGCAGCGTGTAAGTTCAGCATGTTGTTGGACAGATCCAAGCATCCGAGTGTTGGGGAAGTGCCGAGGTTGGTAATCACGTCGCTCGCGGCTTGATCGGAGATGCGATTCGACGCTAAGTTGAGGGAGTCGATGCCAGGTATGAGTGCGATGCTCTCTCCCATTGCCGATGCAAGGTCATTCCCGATGTCGTAATGGCTACGTAAACCATCATTAGCTCGTCAAGCGTTGGTCCAACGTATATGCCGCACTTTAGGTCCACGCGGGGAGAATTGCATTTGCGGATAACCCCCAAAGGCTCCGGGCATCGCGCGAGTTGCCGGAGTCGCGACAGGTAGGTAGTCCTACACATACGTTGGAAAGGATTGACGAATGAGTGAGCCAACTCGTCAGGCACACCTGGGGGACGCTGGCCGTGGTCGCTTGGATCGAAATGATGTGTCGTGGTTCTGAAACATGGTCCAGAACCGCGTTAGAGCTTCGGAGCCAAAGTAATTTTCTGGCACAAGAGGTTGGTGGTGGCTGTCGGCTTCCGCGGCCCGCTCATCAAACGGCGACGGTGGTCGCAGATCGCCGCCGTCCTCTTTGAGGTCTAACAACGTGGCCCTTAGATACGTTTCTGCATGATTGAGTTGAACTAGAATGTACTAGTAAGAAATGTCAGCTTTTCCTTGATGTGGGTTTTGGCCATAGGCGTGATGGTGGAATGGCGGGGATCTCGGATGGCTGTGGCGTCGGCGCTGGATGTCGTGGTGCTCGGTACGACGCTGAGAGTTTTTACACCTCCTCTGCCTCTGCGCCCACCTTCTGCATCGTTCGCTGATGAGAGTAGCGACTTCATCGGTGACGCCGCCACGGGCCGAGTTGGCAGCATGACGTGCTTAAAATAGACTTCCGTCCAAGGTTACATTTTCCGGAGTGGTGTCAGCGTGCCACGTCATGTCATTACAATCGTGCAACATACAATCATGCGATTCGAGCAATAAGTGTGTTGATATTCGAGAGAACGAGAGAACGAGAGAGATCCAAGCGAGCATGCATCCTTAGGCACAAAAATGTTGTGCGCGCCTCGCTTGTCACATCTACATGCGCGGCATGACCCTTGATATATCGTTCATCCTGGAGCTCTGAGGAGGCGCAGATCATTAGGAAAGAGATCGGCGGTTCGGAGCTGATGGAGGACAGGGTGCAGTTGCTCGCGACCCTTGCAAGTATGGCGAACAAGATCAAGCACACACTTTAGAGACAGACCACTCACCGTTTTGAGGCTTGTGGCGCCCTGCGATTGGGCCGCTTCAAGTCAGCTTGAGAACTGGTGCATGATAAACCGTGTTGAAAATCGACCTACCCATCAAATGCAAAGTTTGGGTGTTGGTTGGCCGTAAGAACCAACGATTTCGCTAGTGCCGATCGCAGTGTTCCTGATGAATCAAGCTAAAATGAAAAATTGGTACGCGACATGGAGTTGACAGGACACTTTGGTTGCATTTGCTCTCCAAGGAAGTCCACCGATAATGGCACTTGCCTACACATGGCGTTCACAACGTGCCAAACGCTTCCGTGCATCCAATGCCGCGATTGTCTCGATGTTGATGTTGGCGGTTGTTAGACCACACAGAGGTAGTTCGCAATCCAATCGTCGACACATGTCTGTTCATGCTTAGCCGTTGTCGACGTAGGCGCCCCAGAGGTCATGCCCACAATGAGGAGGAGAGATGTTTCAAGGACGACGATGCCATATGCGTTGTTGGATAGGGCGAGAGACATGGATTTTCCAATCCAATAATTAGGCAACCCACCAATGCATGTTTCCCGAGTGTGTTCCTCTCTGGCCTGGATGGTCTGCTGTACCCACTGCAGCCTGCGGCGACAAGTGCGCTGGCGCCAACGGTGCGTCCATTTTTGGATCGGTACGTTAGGTGAGGGGACGCCACAGCATCGGACCCGGAGTCACATCCGATCTCCCCCATAGAAGCTTTCTCGATGGAGTACTACCGGTAGTCTTTTTTCCACTTTACCAAGCACTACCAAAGTGCAGCGGCTTCAGCAGCGATGACACGTCTCAGCATCATGAGTTCGACACCAAACTACACTGGAGCTTTGATCTCGAAACATGCAGTAGGACACCCTTGAGTGGTTGAGGCAAGCTCTCGCCTCAGAGCTTGTCGCACCAAGAACCGAACAGTGCCATCGAATGCACTGATCACGTTGCCATATTCAGAATATGGTAGACCGGTACAACGCCGCTTTATTTTGCTTCCGCACGATGGCCATCTTTGCCGATGCGGTTAGTTCGAGTACACACGTCCTAGAAATCCTGTCGCCGCCGCCTTATCCTGAATTTGTTTCGTTGCTGCAAGTCAGTTGGATGTCGTTTTGGGAAACGCTTGGGTATTACCCTCTGTGTCGAAACGACATTGGCATTGGAACGTCATCCACAAACGAAGGGGTGGGTCAAGCAAGATGCATCTCCAGCCGCTCGCTACCTTTGCCGCCGCCCCCGTCGCCAACTTACCGACGGGGTAGATCGTCCGTACGATCTTGACCCTGGAAGCTGTGTGACCAAAGACCTTTGATACAGTCATTTGAATTGCACGTGGATGCCACAATTGTTTCCGTTCCAAACTTGAATATCCCCAAATTAGACGTGCGACTACTCCAACGATTCATCTAACTCGAGGGACACCGCAAAATTTAAGAGTAATAACTCTACACTCGTTCAATCAGGTGTCGGCAGGACTGTGGTCGACGCCACACGCACAGGCGTCGCAATCAAATTACTCATCCCAAATCACTCTTGCGTCCGCCGCAGCGGCCGTACAAGAAGTTGCCGTGACCTGTCATCGCCCCACCGTGGAAACCGAACGAATTTTATGGAAAATCGAGTCCCCTTGAACGAACGTGCAACCTTTGGATAAGGTTCCACGCTTTGTCGAATACTTGTCACAGAGTGTGGTGAGCATTTTTCAAATCCTCGCTGACTGAGCAAGGCCGACGGAATTGTCATGCGTTGGGCTTTCCTACTGCTTGTGGGCATCGTCGCGTACACGGCGACGGCCCAGCAACTTCTGACGTCGTACGTCCGCGTGCAATGGAACGCGACCAACTTGACGACAATCGAAGCAAACGAGGGCTTGTTGCGGTCGTCCGTCGTGCAGTTCCTCGCCCCCAACATCACAGCCAACGTCACGTTTCTCGAAATCCGGGCGTTTAACGCCAACATCTCGGCGTCGCAAAATTTTACGATTGAATTTGCCGTCCAAGCAAATGCGTCGGCAGCCACCGCGACGTCGTTCCTCACGACTTTGCTCAACACGACGTCCACGACAAACAACCTCACGCGCGCCATCACGACGACCATTCCGAACGCCGCCGTCGTGTGCGACGTGGGGGCATCGCCGTCCTCCACGCGGCTACGCATTGCCCCGACACCCCCGACGCTGACCGACTTGGCCGCGAATGCATCCTACGTGTTTACCAACTTGCGATACCAAGGGGCTCCCAATGCCAACGCAACCAACTTCACTGGCACGTCATTCTCGCTCGCCCAGCTCACGCGAATGCGGTATGCGTTCTACTCGCTGCTCGGCATCAAGAACGATGAAGAAGCGACGGTCGTGCAGGTCGTCAACGCGACTGTGAACGCTCGACGCGAAACAAATGTACTTGTATTTTTTCGGTTCAACTCGACGTCCCGCTTGGCCAACACGACGATCACCACGCTGACCAACGGCACCACAACAGGAAACGCCACCACAACGTTGGCCGATGCCATGGCATTGTTCAACTTTACTGCCCGAAATTACAACTTGACCGTGAACGTGCCGTGGACTCCGGCGTCGAGCAACTGGTGGATCGTCGACGCGACAAATGCGACGAATGCGACCGCAAACGTTACGACCACGACAAACACTACAAGTTCCACCAACGCGACGGCTGCCCCGACCCCCGCGAACACGACGAAGGCTCCCGCCATTATCTACACACCTGCCCCCACAACTACCGCGATTGTGTATCCCACAACGAAACCTGTACCAACGACGCCGCAACCGACGGCACCACTGCCCACGACCATCGTGCCTCAGTTGGACGGAGGCCTTGTCCCGTTTCCGTTCATTTACGCGTTCAACGTGACGGCTGCCGCGCAAGCGCCAGTGTACACCCAACCAGGGGTGTGCGGAGGTAACAATCAGTTTTGCCTCCACTTGAAATGGATCGTGGAAGACCCGAGAGACGCGTACGTCCTGGCCCGCATCAAAGGCCAGCAATTCATCAATTCGTCCGTACTCGCGAGCTCGTACGGCCCTGCCTTCAGCGCCAACACGTCAAGCGTGTGGACGCTCTACGACATTCCTCGCTCGTCCGTGATTCTGGATCTGGTGCGGTCTTCAGATCTGGCGCTCGTCTCGATTGATATCTCGGTCAGTCTTTACTCCAACTACCACAAAACAACCTAACTCCAACGTGTAGGCCAGTTTGCTCAGCCCCAACTCTGCCACGTCGACAGTGACTAGCACAAGCAACCGCAACATCTATGTTCGCTACGCTGCCACCCCAATTAGTGCCAAGGAATTGGTTCTTGAACTGCGCGTCGTTGTGGGGACCCCTCCTCCGGTCGTCACCCAGACTTTGGTATGTGTGTCCCATGCCATTTCGCCTGCCATGGACGTGAGGCTAACGACGTGGTTGCTTGTAGCAAGACGAAGGGTGTGCGTACTGCACCAAGCTCGCGTCCCAGTGCGCCAAGGATCCCATGTGCTCTGCCATCAAGCTGTGTGTGGACAACGCGACATCGGTGTGGGACCAAACCAACTTGATTTTGAACGGCGACTACGGCGACAGCCTCAATACGACGTTGGCCACTGCGGCGTGCTACAGCAGCCCAAGCTTCCCGTTTGACATGTCGACGACAGGGCGTGATCTCTACAACAAGTACATGGCGTGCATGATAACGCGGTCGTGCCCGTTTGGTTCGTCAGTTCAAATCCACGTCGTCCACTCTTTTTTTGGCCTCATCAACGATGTAACTAGTGGTCGACGGGCCGTCGAAACTCGTGTGGCAAACGCCAACGCCAGGATGGATCCAAATTCAGCTCCTTCCGTGGTCGCTCCCGTACTTCGGGACGCTTGAGCTTTCTCTGTCGTACGGCAACTCACCCCCCTGCCCTGTCGTCCTCTCCAACGACAACACGACGGCCAACCTGACGCAGCAACTAGCCACTTGCATCCTCAACGATTGCGAAGTCATTGTTCTCGCCAACACGACGAATGTTACGACAATCGACATTGTGTTCACAAACCACATCGGCCCGATGCCCGAGCTATCGTGGACGCCGACCCCAGTCCTGCCCTACATCGACGCGGCTTTCGCAATTATTCCCAAGCTCGCGTCGTCGTCGGCGCTCGCGCTCATGCCTGTGAACGACCCCGTGACGAACCCTGCGACGCCTCAAAGTACGTCCTCCTCCTTGTCCGCCAACGGATGGCGGTGGTTTACAAAGTGGGCGCGTTTGTGACCATCTCTTTCCTAGACGCGTGTTCGTCGTGCTGGCTCGAGTTCCTTCAGACGTGTTTGCTGGACGAAGGCTGCAACGTCTACATCAACTGCATCATGAAGGGGTCCTTCGAGTCGATTGCTACACTAATCCAGTTTGGCCGAACCGGGGCGACGTTCAACTTGTCCCCGTCCATTTTGTCGTGCTCGGACCCGACAGCACCGACGTGGGCCTCGTGGCGATATCTGCAAAAGGCCAGCCAGTGCTATGCCAAACAACAATGCCCAGTCGCATCGCAAGGCGGGAAGGACATTGTGTGGCAGGTTCCCAACCGCACGCAGTCGATCTCGTACACGCTGCCGTTCGACCCCACGACTTCCGACTCACCGCCCCAGTTCATGTTTCGAAACCAACTCGACTACAACTGGAACGTCATGTACGGGGGGGTGAAGGACTTTGGGTCGATTTTGCCCACAATCTTGGACATCCCCGATGTCGTCGTAAGCGACCCGACCAACGCCACCAACCCCGTCGATGGGTCGTTCACGTACTCGTGGCTCGTCACGTATCCGTCCTATGCTGGGTTCCTCCCGACCTACTACATTGGGGACTTTGGCGGGAACGTCCTCACAATCCTCAACGACGCCCCCCCAAGCGCCCTCCTTGTCGTCCAAAACAAGACGTGGAACGCCACGGCATGGAACTCGGCTCTGTTCTAGCGAGGTCCCTCTATCATCTGCATCCTAACCAGTACTACATACGCTAGCACCTTCACGGCCGTGATTGCTTGCATCGTCGAACTGGCTTGGCCACAGCGTACTCTTAGCAAACAACTTCATCTCGTGCATCCACCTCCAACCTGTTGGAGCAGCAACACCGCCGAGATTTCCCCTGTTCGAAGTTGGACTACTATTAGCCAATCACATCGCTGGCCAGTCGTCCAGATTGAATATTAGCCAATCTGAAAGCACATTTCAATGATTCACACAGTATATCAACCAATCAAATCGCACATGCAAACAACTCATATTTTTGCAGCCATGGCGATGCCACGCGGGGGTCCCAAATGGGCCAGACACGTAGCGATGCGATGGAAAAGGAGGAGCATGCAAGAAAATAGGGCCCCAACGATCATAACCCCCCGTCCGTCTGGTTCCCCCGGTCTTGGACACACAAGGGAGGCACGACTGCAAGTTGGTGCGATCGAGCTAGGTCGACCCGGCCACAACTCACCTCGAGGGATCCCCGTTCCCCCTCCGCCGCGCCCCTCCCCCGACAACCACACGTGCGTCGTCACGAGTATTGGTCACACAAGCTTGAACTGACGGGCCAACGCGCCCCGTCGTTGCTGTACGTTTGAATAAAATCAGTATTTTTAATCGAGTCGATTTCGTTTCAATACTCAGATATAGTCATTTCTGTAACCTAAAGGTACGACAAACACATTTTAATGCGGGACATGGGACATCATCCCACTGTGCGGGGGGATGTTGGCAAGGGCCTGTTGCCTCGAAGGGGATGGTTTCGAGTTTCTCTCCACTCCACGCTGCAGGATCTGGACATCAAGGACAGCGCATAAGAGTTTGAGGACTGGACGTTGTCGAAGCGCAACCAACGCGCAAAGCGCGCAGCTTGGAACTACACAAACGATGTCGATTGCCAACTGCTTTTCATGCAACAAAGAGGCGTTGCGGACCTACCCAAGGTGGTACTCATAAACCGGCCTCCAAAGCGGTCGACTTCAATAATCAGTATAATCCAGACCCGAGCCACCGACTCGCGACAGCTGGATCACCTCGGACCGCATGGGACCATCGGACGCGAGGCTTGTCGATCACATGGCAGGCGGGCCGCCGTCGGATGCGGTATGCACGCAGCTACCCGATCTTTTCGCGTTTCCCGCCACCACCCACGGCGTCCCAAGCGGTCGCTTTCGCCCCTTGCGCGGGTTTGCTGGTATGGAGTTGACAGTCATGCCAATCCTCTTTGAAACAATGCAGGTGTACTAACCAACATCAATTAAGTTAACGTTTACGCCACGCTGAAACACATCTATTTCGTTTTCTGATTCGCCTGCCCGCGTCTTCCGTTCACTTTTGCCGACGCATGTGGCGCAAGCACAGCCCGTCTGCACTCTCTTGGATTGCAAGGCGGTTGCACCCTCCTTCCTTGCACACCAAGTCCTTGCGATGGTTCTCGCATAGTCCGCCGCCGCGGTCTGTTCGGCCACAATCGGCCACTCCACACAAGCGCGAACCCCCGTGCTTGGCACACAAATTAGCACGCTGGGCACCGCTGGAGCAACCAGGGACCGAGCAGCGTCGGCCTCCGCCGTGCCTTCTACACAGACCACCGCCTTGGGAACTCTTGTTGCAGTCGACGACGGTGCATCGGGCGCCGCCACCGTGGGCCTTGCACAACCCGTGCGACTGGGCGCTCTTCTCGCAATCAAGGATGCTGCATCGCTTGCCACCGCCGTGACTGATGCACAAACGCTTGCCCTGGTTGCCTTTCGGGCACCCGACGACACTGCACAGTCGAACGCCGCCGTGGTCTTTGCAATAGCCACGGTACGAAATCGTTTTCACGCAACCGTCGGCGAAACACTGACCTGGGCGTTCTGTCGTGGGGATCTGGACAACGTCGATGCCGTCCCCGTAGAGTGCAGCAAGCGACGGTTTGACATCGACGGTCGTGTCAAACCAAAAGTCCTGTGCACATTCGAGGGACAGCGCCTCGAATTCGTACTGGCCGGTGCCGGTTACGGTGTACGACGACGACGAGAACGGAATCGGCTCGAGCTGGCTCGCGTCAAAGCATTGGAACCCTTCGATGTGCACCAATGGGCCAAGATCCACGTCTGGGTTGACGTAGCCTTTAGTCATTTGGGGATTACTTGACAGGTACGACGGGTACATGGGCGTCGCGGGCGCGGGCAGGACGTGATCCATGCGTTGGTCGACATGGTGGTGGTAGTAGACGTGTCCCATGCTGGTACAAGTTGAAAAATGAACACTCCGAAAGACTGCATCTTCCCTAGACAGGTGTCGACAGGTTAACCACGGCTGGCGGGTGTGTCACCTGGCGGAGGTCACTTGTATTTTTGTATGCCATACTAACCTCAAGTCAGTCGCATGGTGCAACAACTGGTGTAGACGCTACCACGTGGTGGATGCATTCCGTTAGCCGATTCCATTCTGTTAGCCAAGGTCGGATTTGAACCATACTGCACTAACCGACATTGGACTAGGATAACTCAAGCAAGGAATCCTGTGGCGCATGGCTCTTGTGTGCTGGACGTCCGTTGCCTGCGTAAGCCGCAGCGTGGAAAGAGTGGCATGGGGGAGCGTTGTGGGGGCAACTGAAAACAGGCGACAGGGTATCGCCACCCACGTCGTGGTCGTCATTGGAGTTATCATCGCTGACAGACACACCATCGATGGCAGCGAATTCGATAACGAATTGAACCAAAGACGGTTTTGCCCATTCATGCCGAGCTTTCTCGTAGTAGGAAGCGCCACTTGCTTGTCAAGAGCTATCTTCTGCATGAGACAAGGATTGGAGGCTTGTATGGGAGGGATGCAAGATGGGGGCTGAATCGATACTTTCGTGGCTTGCTGCTCGTGCAGATGCATTGGTCTACCGCTTTAAAGCATACGCACTCGTTCGCGGCGAATCTGCGACCGCCGCCCCATTTCAGTGCCTTTCGATAGAGGCCCCCCATACCTCCGTCAAGAACGTGCCGCATCCACCACACATTGGACCATCCTCGATATGGAGACAAAGGTCGATCGCATGGCAATACGTATCTGCAACGTTCAAGGACTCTTGCGCTTTTGCAAACGACTTACTCAGAAAGGTGAGTGGTTGGCACAGCTGCACTCACACCTGCCACGTTGTATAGTTACTGTAGTGGCCCATGGGAGTCGGCACTCGAGGGCTCGATGACCTCTCCACGGCCAAAATGAAGGCATCCACATTGGATTACAACTATGAATAGGTACGTTTGCACCCGTGCTTTGTGTCTCTGTGCAAACTCCTGAGACAGCACATCACGACAATCTAATTAAGAGTCCGTGGTGATACCAACAATGTTCTACTGCAATAGAATTGCTGTCGAGGCACTGCCGCACCACCATCCCCGGATCAACGTGAATACGATGAACTTCGACGTGTGGGATTTGAAGGAGGGGGTGCGGCGGTGCATACTGTGTATGCCACCCGTCATCCTCTAGCCCCCCAGTTCCCCCATCGTCATAGTTGGACGGAGCCCCCAGCGCACGAGGTGGGAACCCACCTCCCCCTCGGAGTTGGCGGCAACGGTGACGTACACATCATTACAACGCGGCGACAGGAACTGGATTAGGGTACAAAATTCGTCGGGAGTCGAATAAAAATTACCAAACAATAAAACCCACGTCATATTTGTGTTTATCGTCGACCTAATTGGTTTTCATCTGAACTCTGTGTTCCCATGGGCACCTGGATTGCAAGAAAGAAATCCCTGCACGGGGCTCCCTCATCGGCACCCATGGTGCTGCTTGCACAAGAATACACAAAATATCTCTGCCACGTACCGGTGTGCACACAATTCTCGTCGGTTGTGTTGTAGTTGCGAAATACTTTTTGGGTGGGTTTGTCCTTACGAGGTTTTATTGCGTTAAATATGCGGCTATGCTTAGTTACGACAGTGGGACGTCATTTCCATTGTAAACTTGGCCGCTCTTGCGCATCACTTTCCCAGAGTTGGATACAGTCTCAGGGATGGGCCTTCCTCGACAAAGCACATCGCGCGGGCGCTTCTCCGCATTGTACATCTCAGACGGACGCGTTGGGGTCATGCACTGCCTTTTACCAACAATTTGGCTGCTTCTTGACCAGCCTTACATGCATGGGGCGTGTGAAGCACGTGGGGGGCGACCGAGTGTGTTCTTGTTGGGTCGAGTGTCCATCACACCTTGATGAACATGCCTCGCAAACGTCAGCGTGTTTCGTCGTAGTTCAGCCCCTCCGACGCATCATGGGTCTTTTTGTGAACCCGTTGAAGTGTACCTGTGTTGGCAGCTTTCCAACACAGGTAGCCAAGTGATCTCACCATGATTGTTAGTTCACGATCCATCATAGTCTAGAAAGCAAGCAGACTACAGGTTCAGTAATCTACCCTCCAGGGTCTGCATCGTACGACGCCACTTCGGCGCTTGCTCCATTTTATCATCCCGCATGGCGGCGCCCTGTCCAACGCAAGCAGCAATTCCGTTGATTCGCCGCGCAGCAACTACATGCAGCAGTAGACTACCCACTCCACGTACAGAACATTCACGTTGCAAACAGAACTCATTGTCACATGCACTTGGGACACCAATTGCGCCTGGCTCTTCCAACTGCTTGTTCTACGGGCCAAGCAATACCCGTCGCGATCGGAGACGCTCCGGAGCCGCGTTTGCGACACACGACGTCTCAGAGTCTTTCCCCTCGGCGTGTACTGTCACAATGCAGCACTTTGCCCGCCATTTCCGGCACATATCGTCACGCCGGGCGCCACATCCGTCAACCCGGCACCGTCGTCCCCCTCCTTGTGATCTCTTGTCGCAGTTGGGAAAGGTGCGCCACCGCCGTCGTGTGCTTCGCATGACCGTGTGACTGCGCTGATTTTTTAATATGCACCGCTTGCCCCCGTCGTGCGCAATGGACGGTACTTCTCGTTGATCGACGATGAAGCCTTGAATTCCTCGATGGTTTCGAGGCGCCATGGAGGGTCTCCGGCAAGTGGTATTCGACTGGAGGCATGGAGTAGAGATGACGTGCGGAAACGTCGACGGCTGTGGGCAAAAGCCTTCGATCCATCACGACTTGCAAGTGGTGCAGTTCATGCGCCGCTTTGAGCGCCTCTCGATCGCTCACAAACATCCCGGTGGTGCATGAACATGGCAATGGCAGTTGCTGTCAAGGGGCCGTAGTCGTCCTCGGGGGTTGAATTTATAAACTTACTTGCGTTTGTCGTCGCGCCGCTGGACGCGTCGTGGGATATGCATCTGGGTGTTGGTGGTGGTCGCGGTGCATCTCCAAACACGAGGGATTCCCTAGTAGTGTGTGTAGGCAGTCTTTGTGCAATGGACTGCCGCGACAAACCAAACGGACAAGGCGTTGTCCACGTAAATTCCTTCAACAAGAAACATCAGCGTTCATTGCTGTGCCCACGATCTTGCGCCGGCGCGAGTTGGGGCAATCGCCGCCCTCCAGAGTAAGCATTCGCTCCGTCGCTATCTTCGACTACGATACAGGAATCCCACGGCATGGAAGCACGTTTCAATGGCGTAGAAAGGGCGTCTCGTTGGCTAGGACCCACCGGCTCTGTGGGCCTTTCCGCGAACTTAGTCCATATCTCTGCGGTGGCACACGCCGACGGGCGACCCGCGCGACTTTTGAAAACCTTGAGGATACTGGGTGAAATTTTGAAATTTGACGTGCGCATCGTCGGGGGCATGATTCGTGTCCATGCGACAGGGCGGCACTCGAAGATGCCTCAATGGAGTAGGGAAGGACAAGGTGGACTCATGTTTTGATCCACACTGGTTGACGTGTCGCCGTTCATTCGAACAAATCTTGCTTGACGTCCATTAGCCCAACGGTCGCTCGACAGACCATGCGTCAGCTCTCCCAATTCAACGTCTACCACGTCCACGTGGCCAACGTGGCATCTGGCTCTAGAGAGTTTGCAACTGAGCTGGCGGGCGGTCCATCCTTCGACCATATCACGGCAGCAATTGTTGAATGGATGCTGCATGGGGTGGGGTGTTTGCGGCCCTGCACGGTTGCCGAAACGGGACGAGGACTTTCCGAACGTGCATTGCTTGGACTGCTACGTCGTCGTGAGTGGTGTATGTCGATAGCGTACGGTAGTCCACCAAGGTAGGACGATACCAACGACAATTTCACATACAACTTTGGGACTCGATAGCGACGACGTGGAATCCGGTAGCGCGACGGATGACGGAGCGCACAAATCTGCCGCTCCATCGTGTGACGTCACAACAACTTCGGCATCATACGCGAGAAATGGCTGGTCTGCTCAGTTTTTTTGGCGGGGGGATCGCTTTTGTCCAGTTGAAACAGCGAGCTGTCGAAATCGCCATGCATGAATGCAACCAATTACGGCAGATGTCCGTTGTACTTGATTCGGACTCAATCAACCCCCCACCATGCCACATTGGGAATCTCCCTGCATCCCTTCCTGCACAGTGCGCCAGTCGCACAATATGCATGCTATGGCGACAAAAGCTTCGCGACCCGCATGCACGGTCCATAATGATTATTTCACCTAGACGAGGAGTGGTTGGTGGCTCCCAGACAACTCACCCACGGCCGCGCGGCAAGGTTGCACCAGTACAGTCTTGGCCAGCCCATGCAAGAGCCGTTTGGTATTGTGTCACCCGCGCCGTCCGACAGTTTGGGCGACCTCCATTGAACATTGTTGAACATCCAAACATACACCTTCTAGGTCGTTGTTCTGGTCAGCGACTGCAGGACACTTCTCCATACCACAGGGGCGTCCAGGAACGTAGAACAGTTGTGTGCGAAAAGCAAGTCTGGGTGGTTGATGCCATGCGTCGGCGTGCGTCGACGCGGCCAAGTGTATACTCGAATGGCTTCCGCATCTGATAGGTCTCGACCCAATGCGCTTCGTCATCCGAAAGTGGCGCCTCACGCGCTCGTACTATATCTGGTTCCAAATTTATGCGCTGGCAACTGTTTTGGCCGGAGGGCGAGCATAACTTACAGTTTGGCTCGAGGAATATCCGTGTCCCTGTGTCGACACCCATCGAAACGAGCGCCTTTTACATGTCGTCCCCTGGGTCGTCTTCGTCTTGTTCGATGGGGGGTGGCAGGAGCGCCGGCTGGACTACCGCTGGGACTTGTTCCAGATTGATTGCAAAAGGCACGAAGTTGAGGGGGTTGGTCCCCAGCGTTGTCGCTCGGTTGTGGCGATGGGTATTCAGGAACGTCAGGAAGGCCTGCCAGCACGAGAGCTCCCCTGCCGCTCCGTCTTGGGGGAACAGGACCTACGGCATGTTCAACACAGACTTGGACGATTTGCAATCGAGGGCTGACCGCGAGGGTGCGACAGATCTGGACAAACTTTTCGAACGAAATCACGACGGTGTACGAGTGGCCGTTGATCCAGTTGATTGCTTCGCACACGTGGTAGAGAGCGGACGTGGAGCACAGCAGCGTCGGTGTCAGCGCAAAGTCTGTCGCGAGTTGACTGAGTGTTTGGAAGGTCATCAGTTTGAATCGAGAGTCGCTGCTGTAGAACCGATGGAGGGTTTGCAGCTGGACGCGATTGCCCGCGACGAGGGCGACAACTTGGGGGTTGCTCGCCATCTTTGCCTCTATGTCTTTGTACCTGCATCATGCGTGAGCAACTTCACCGGAACACGACAGGGGCCTCACAGCTTGACGTTTTCGGCCATTTTACTTGCGAGGCGCCGCAGCAGCGGCAACATGTATTCGGTGCAAAACCACGCGTCGACGTCGTCGATGGCAGCCTCCACCTTTTCATCCAAACCCGCCACTGCGCGCTCGCCCACGTTGACCATGGCCTTGTAGAACCCCGAGATGAGCATCATCGACTCCTTCGACGGCGCGTCCGGGCCTTTGACATGCAACTGAGTACTACAATGTTCCGAGTGGCATATGCGCCTTACGGGTGTCGGGGGTCGCCAAGAGTGTAAAGATCATGTCGGCAGCATGCAGCTTCAACGGCGGGGGAGTGGACCCTGGTGCGCCCCCTGGGTTTGGCAACAGCCCCGCGTCCTTGAGAAGCACTCGAAACTGCGCCTTCCTACACACTCCTTTCGTGACGTGGGGACCCGTCCCTGTCAACGTACGACATTCCCACAACATTGAACGGGTCAAGCAACGTCAAGTAGTAGTGGAAAATGCCATTGTAGATCCGCTGGGCGCCAGTCATGTCGAGTTTCAAGCTGCGTTTTGAGCCGGGCAATCTCGTCTGGTTGCTGGAGGTCGTCGAGTCGTAGCGAATGAACGAACCCAAGAACAGGTTCAAGAACGGTTCGTCATCGCAGAGCTTGGTGAGGTCGTCCGCGTCGCCGTCCGAGGTTTCGTTGTCCACGTCTTGGATCGTGTGCATCGACATCTTCATCATTGATCCTAGTCGACGTGCACACGTCAGGGGGCTGTGCGCTTGGTGAGCGAATGCTCCACCTCGCATGGACGGCGGTTTGTGTTTGGCCTTGACAAACGACGACTTGGGCAGGAGCGTCTTGAGTTCTTTTTGGTGCATTTCCTCTCGACGCGCTTGGATCGACGCCTGAAATGCTTGAGTCGCCGCCGCCGTGAGCGCGAGTTGCCGCGCTCGTTCTTGTTCGAGTCTCTACAGTCAGTTCACGGCGTTTCGTCATGTGCTATAGTTGCTTTGGTACCTCGGCCAGCGCATCGCGCGATTTGTTGAGTTCATCCCACAACTCCTGGGCGTGCTGCGACGTGTGCGCTTGAGCATCATGCTGCAGCTTTTGAATTGCCTCAGGCTCTTCCCACTGCGACTCGCCTGTCAGGGTGTTCTTGTAATAGATGGCTTTCGACCCTGGATCTTGGACGACCATCCATTCCAATTGAGTACTTGCGACGACCGAGATCGTTTTCTTCTTCTTTTTGACCCAAACATAATCTCCTCCATCGTCATCCTACTCCACGCTTGCGTGAAATCCATCGACTTCCCACGGGAAGGGACCAACACGTACGGGAGGATGTGCCAACGAGTCGGCAACTGCGTGTGAGGTCCTTGTACTTGTAGCTCCCTCGGCGCCGTTCAGATCCGGCGACGCCACGTATCTACGTACGCAAAATCTCGCGTGTGCCACAGACGATAATGTAACAAGCGTCATGAACCCCTCTGGCATTTCCCACTGACATTTCCCCGTCAAGTTGTTGTAAAAGAAGACGTAGCCGCTGTCGGTGTCCATGCATTCGCTCCACTCGCTCGATGTTTGCGGGCGATTCTCATGCCGGGCGTTGGCGGGGTGGAACCACGTCGACGCCGTTTCCTACCATATCGACGAAGGTTGCCAAGTTCGTGGCTGGAATTCATGCCAAAACGATGAGATCATGACTACTTACTGCATCCTTGATTGCTTTTTGTAGCTGGTCCACGCACGCCTATGCATTTCGATTCGGTCGAATCGATTCGATAACTCTCCTGTCAACGAAGTCCACACGTTGTCGTACCGTGTGGTGATTGTTGACAGCAAGATCAATAGCTGTGAGCCCGCGGGCATTTCGGGCAAACACGTCCGCACCATACTTGATGAGGATCTACAAAGGCGATTGGCAAAGCGGCATTTTCGGCCGGGTGCATCGAAGCTACCTCGAGACTGCCAATGCTGCCGTTGCAGGCAGCAGCGTGGATCGGTCGATCGCTGCGATCGTCTTCTTGCTCGAGCATCCACGAGTGTACTTGGTAGTTCCACTGGCATAGGAACTCGACGCAGTCGACGCGGTTTCGCGTGCACGCGACAAAGAGCGGAGTTCGGCCGAGTTTGTCGCCTTGGAGCAGATCGTCGCCATGGCTGACGAGAATTTTCAAACACGCGGGGGTTTTTGTGATGTGGCTCGGGCGAAACCCCTTAGCGTTGCGAACGTGGGGGTTCGCGCCCGCTTCCAGCAGGACCTACAGCAGCACGACAGGGAAGTGTGACAACACTTTTCTTGTCCATGTAGAGCGAGGATCTTAGCCCCGTCGTGGCATGCTATTTCAATGCGACCTACCTCGAGGCAAGCTTCCCACCCAAAAAAACAGCTCACATGAACCGGAGTGTCCAATTGCGAGTCAGGCATGTCGATCCACTGAGGTCGCTTCTCAATCAAGAGTTTGGTGCACTCGGCTTGGTTCGACGCACACGCGTAGAAGAGCGGCGTACGGTGGTGTTTGTCCTGGGCCACGAATCCCGTGTCCTGGATTAGAATGGCCAAGCACGACGTGTGGCCTGCGTATGCTGCAAAGTGCATACTCGGCATGTCCTTGCTGCCTGTGCACCGACTGCACACCGTGTCCGCCACAGGTTTCACGGAGGTGCGACGGGTTTCTGCCGGTGTCGCTTGTTTGTTTCCTTTGTCTAGCTTCGTCAAAGCCGTGTACGAGTTGATTTTGTACATAGCTTTCTGGACGACCGGGGTCGGTTTGACAACGGCTGGTTTCGTCTCGTCGTCTGAGTCGCCACCACTTTCACTTACGTCGTGGTCAACCAACGCGTCGTCCATGAGCTGTTTTGTCGAAATATCATGCTCCTTGACCAGCGCCCCCGGCGTCGGGGCTGTGCGCATGGATGGACTGCGTGGCCGCGACGATTGTGACCGCAACAGTTACACGACGAAACTGCCCGTAACAGAGCAGCCGAACAATTGGGGACGCTACTGGCGCCATCAATTGCATTGGTCGCTGTTAGTGTCAACCTTTTCAGCGTGGAGACCAAGTCATGGTCGAACAGTGCACAATGGAGGTTCGAGCACAGAAAGTTGGATCCCTGGTTTGCTCGGTGGTCAGATTGCTCAAAGTTTAACGTAAGTTTGGCACAACTGCAAATTGCCTCTTCTTCGAGAGGCCATTGGGTGGATTTTAAGCCAATAGCATTTCACCACAGCTTCCACTCAAGCGTCATTATCACTTCCCTGCGCTGCCGGCGGGAGCTAGCCGCGGTCGCAACGGGCGTCGGGCTCTCCTCGTGGAAATCTCATCGCGCCCTGAGTGACAAGAATATTGTTATTGAAAGCCGAGGTTGATGCCATTCAGGACTTTTCAGTGTTCATGCCGTTCGTAGATATCCTATTACCTCCACCGGACTCTGCACTGGGCATCAAGCACTACGCATTCGTCATTGTCGGCGCGTCGACCACTGCTTATGCAGCAATTGAAGCCATTCTGCAGCATGAGCCGACGGCGGACATTCTCGTGCTCAGCGACGACGTTCATTTACCTCGAGTTGACCACAAACACGACTCGGAAGATTCCGATACGTCCCCATCGAGTGATGGCGACGAGGCTGCATCACGGCTGATCATGTCCAACACACTCTTCGACACTTTTAATGAGTGGCGGCGGTCGATCACCCCATGGCTCGAAGTTGACGTGGCGACACCTCCGAATGTCGTCACATTAGCCACAGGAAAACATCCAGTCCGTGTCGATGTCGAGGCAAAGCTCATTGCTTTGGACGATGGCTCGATGGTAACAATATTCATGTCTCCCTCTATGCATGAAAAATGAAGGGCTCTTCATCTTGGTAGATTGCTTTCGACAAGTGTTTGATTGCCACTGCAGGCAAGCCACGTCCTCTGTATGTCCTCGACAGTTCTCGCTTGTCGTATGCTCTCGACGACTGCATCAACACGACGGCATCACGCAGTGACTTTGAAGCGCTACACCGGTTATCTCCCGCCATAAAATCTGTGTCAATCATTGGCGGTGGCTTTCTTGCAACGGAGTTGGCCGTCGCACTCGCCGCGGCTCAGCCTAACCGGCAGGTGAGTTGCTGATCGCAACTCAAATTGACGACCACTGGTCATCGCGCGTGTGCCGAACGACTAGGTTGAGCTCCTCTTCGTAACCATGCCAGGGCCATGCGCCCACGAATTGCCCTCATACTTGAGCGTCGAACTCAAAAGGCGGTTGGAAAGCCTCGGAAATGCACATGTAAAGCCAGGCACACTTGTCACCAGCGTCAAAACAAATTCCAACGTGTCGGCGACCTCCTTGGCAGGCAACCTTGGTGGTAGAACTTGTGACGATGTCATGTTGACCTGCATGCACAACGATGCAGAGACCGACGCTCCAGCAACGATTCGCCTCGTCACAGACTATGTCTGCTAGCCCCGACGCACATCGACCCAACGGTGCACGGCGTCGTCGCCGCGAGTCTTGAAGTCGATCCACAAAACGGAGGTATGTGGCGGGTTCACCTTAAGTGTCCCGTCGGTGGGGTATGCCATGTGTGTGGGAGTTAGTTTAGGAGATTGTTTGATACCTAGAAACCAATCTGGAGGAATGTGGAAGGAGGGGTATTGACTGGATTGCATGCTCCATCGACAACACGAGAATTCACGGCAGCGATAGGCATCGTCGTGAACGCTCAATTGGATGCGTTGGCCGACATCTTTGTGGCCGGAAGCGCCGCGAGTTACTTTGACGAATTTGTGGGGCGGCGCCGCGTCGATCGGTACGACCATGCGGTCAACTCGGGGCTCTTGGCAGGCTACAACATAGTACGAGTGTGGTGCGTGTCCCACGGTTGGATCAACTTGGGCAACGTACCTTGGCACGCAGACATTCACGAATGTCTATCCAGGCGGCGCCGACTGGGACGAAAAAGGTCTACCGACACCAGCCCATGTTTCGAAGCAACATGAATTGGACTGGCGTCACGTGTGAAGGCGTGGGGGTGATCGACGCATCGCTGCGAACGGTAGGGGTGTGGCTGCGCCCATCCCGATCGTCGGCAAAGCCCTACGAACGCGGCATCGTGTACTACCTCCGGGGCAACAAGATCGTCGGCATGTTGTTGCGGAACGCCGAGGACATGCTCGAGAAAGCCAAGATAGTCATGGCAACGAAACCTACGGTTGCGAGCGTGGCAGACGTCCCCAAGGTGATCTCGCTCGGGCCGGACGAGTGGCTCCACATCGAGACAACAGAAGGACTTCAGATCCATGCCCACCAAAATTAGGCTGCCAGACCAATGTCGCACCGTAAAGCCTCAAGTTGGCCCATGTTTGGAAGTATCGTCGCGTTCGAACAAGCCGACACCGCCCGGGCTCACTTCGGACATGCTACACCTTTAGGGAACATGTTTTTGATTGAACGATTGCCTTAACAGCAGCGTAAGGCGATGAAGCGTATGCTACCCGCACACGGCGCCTTGTCGAGGAGGACGCCCCACTCGTGCGTGCCACCGTACGTCCAATGCATTCGTTTCGTCGGGAAAACCGGCCTTTAGTCTGTGCCGCTCCAGACGAGGCTGTTCACGAACTGGCGCGATTCAGTGTCCTTAGAAGTGTTTTGATAATTTTGAATTCTCCAATCCGTTTTCGTGTCGGCGTAGCTTTGGTACCTCACCATTGAAATATGTGAAGCCGACGGACTTGTCCTTCGCCATTCACATTGTCGCCTTGACGTTCGTGGTTCAATATGAAATCGCACGCCGCTCCTTGGACCTGGCGCTCCTCGTCCACTTTCCGTACGACCAAAGGTTGCATGTCCCGTACAGGTTTTGCCAAGGTGGGGCGTCGATACCTCGCAGTGCGGCCCCAGCGCCACTAGTGTCACCGTCGACACAGGTTTGAGCTCCCCATATCTTCGCTGCTGCATGGGGGCAATGTGACGGGGCAGGAATGAATATCGGACAAGGTTCAGCGTGTGGCGGACGATTCTTCGATCAAGTCGTCTCGGACAAATATGTGGTTGACTGCGGCATTTGCACGACCTGTACCGACATAAGTGTTTCAAGTGCTTGAAAGAGTCTTCTCCCTGTCGAGATCTCCTCATGGTTCGATCGTAGGTCCAATGCGCGTGCAAGAAGGGCTTCAACGAACATTCGTGCGAGTGCTGCTCTCGCGACACGTCGTACAACGCAGACAAATTCATGAACGTACTCTCATCGGTTTGGAGCCTGGAGTGTCCATTGTCATGCGGTCGTCGATGTTACGTGCAATTTGAAAAACAACTCCTACGACGACATCCCGGGCATGGAGGATGCGCACTTTCAAAGCCGTCGTATGTTCTCCGGTCTCTGACATGACGATGCGCGACAGGTGATTCCGGCACAACAAGCAACGCGTCCGTGGTCGACATGTGCATCTAACCAACCGCTCCCCAACTGCGGTGCCATGGGTGAGTGGCGTGGGCAAGCGAACGACTTCGCGCATGGCGATGCTGTACCGACGCCGCTCACCTATTTGCCTCGATTCGAGTGCTATTGGGTCGTCGTGAGGTACACGCTGTCGGACTGTGTCGATTGCGTGCAGTCAACGGCAACAAATGGCAAAACTATTCCGCTGTCGGTTTCCTTGAAGCGGCTATCCTGGCGTAGCCCCTATACTTCGCCCTCTAGAAAAGTCCGCCCCCAGCAACGTTCGCGGCATGGCAAGGATGGGTCGGGCTAACGTCAAATATATGTCTGGGGGGCTTATATACGTGGTGGAGGAAATCGATGGCAACGTGGGCTAGTCTCGTGAAAGTCAGTGGAACGGGATTCGCCGTGGTCAAAGTGTGATGCCCCAAGTGCCCACTTCAGTTGATCGTCCTGAGCAATCCCGACCACCACTCCAGAAGCGTTTCACTGTACGAGTTACAAATTGTCATGTTGAATGCATAGAATGAGCTCTTTCCGTCGGGATGCGCAATGTCTCAGCCCCCATTCATGTGTGTGCGATAAATGTGACGATCGTGTGCATTCTATAACGTGCCCGTCGGGGCTGCCGAGACCCGGCGGATAGCATGCTCGAACGAGAAGGACGGCAAAACCAAAAATGGAGCGCGCTGGTCGTAGACGAGTCGGCAAGTGGGATCGCCCTCACACCACCAAATGCAAGGGGTTCACCGTGCGCAGTCTCAAAATGGACAAGGTACAAAACGGACGAACCTCTCTCATTGACTTGGGGGGACTTGGGGGGGAGTCGAAATTCGCAGGATCCAAGACGTTTCCGGTGCCGAAGTCACTGCCGCGTCCGCTGGGGCTGACATCCATTACCGTCACTTCCATTCAAGACCCTAGCCCTGAAAATTTCAGCTCAAATACAAAACACAAGATGTTTGACACCGCAAGGCCGACGGTGCTTAGAAGACCAAGTATTCGTGGCTGACCAAACCCCTTCCACACAACCACTGGATGCAGGTTCGATTCTCCTGCATCTTGTGCATCGAACGTTAGTCCTTTCTTGCCAGGACTATTCTCCAGGCAAATGACATGCTTCGTTTATGACAGCTCGTCAAGAATCCTCGTGTAACATTGAAATTTGCGTGTGCTTCGTTTTGTATTGCCCGGACATAAGGCACTTTTTTTGTCTGTATCCGTTTGACAACCCGACGACGTCTGGGCAGTTTGTGACAGCACCGTATGCACGGAGTGCGATGGCGTCACAAAAAAGAAATTTAACATGGTGTCACGAATTCATTCATGGAAATTGAATGGTGTGACCTTGCATGAGCATTATGGCCGAGAGCACCCGACAACACGAGCTACTGTGCGTGCAGCAGGAAACCTTACCGCAGGGACGCGACTGTCGGGGACCATCACGCGGAACGTTGGTCAAGGTAGGATAAAATGACATGCCACGTGGCAGGATTTCGTCATGACCGTGGATGAAGGCCGTTTTGGATTTGCCGTCGAAGTCACCGAATATGCCGATCGGTAGTTGTTGGCTGTGCAAGTCAGTGCTAGACATTATCGTGATAGATGCCAAAACCACTTGAACGCAGGTAAATATCCAAATGACACAGTGGATCATGTTCTACAGGTCTGTGGTAACACAAATGGATGATAAATTTCAAAATGATGCTCGTGCAATTACTCGAATAGTACAAATTTTCAATACGTATCCAGTTTGACAGGTTTCATTATGTGGGGGAGACAAGTCCCTGATGAAAAGCCATGCCGTGCACTTTTGAGCCGTGCAACCTTTCGAACTCAACGTGTTAGTATTGCTACATTATTGCTAAATTCCCTTCCCAATGAATATTGTAGTCGAAAGGGAGATGGTGCGGCGGCAATTGAACGCTGTCACGGGCGGATGCTGGATACGCCGCCGCGTCCCGTCCACTACCCGACCGAATTCGTCAGGCCCAGCATCATATGCTCGTTTTGACTTCGTGGAATCCCCGCTAGCCACCGTGGCCATTCGTTCTGAATCTTGTTAGCTGGGTGAAACGGCGCACTGTTAAGGTGACTTGCAAACTCGCCAGGCGCCACTAGACGTGATCTTGCGGATCACAATATTCCAACAATTGGCAGACCTTCCAAGCTGTGCCTGTTCAGCTCTACCGGTTGCAGCACGAAAAGCTGATGCGTGGCGAACGGCTTGAGCTCCCTTCACATCGTGCTAGGAAGACTCTTTTGTCATTAGTTCGAAAGCCGCGTCATTCCTTCGAGCTGTTGCCAATCAAGTTGGAATGGGCTATGGTCGGTTCTTGGTGCACAAGGAGCAAGTCTGCGCTGCGGTGGCCGAGGAATGCCCCCCTGCGGATGAGGTGAACGGTCACCAGTGACGGTCGAAAGCTACTTCGATCGCATCCATGACGGCGAGATTCAAGAAATACCATTGGAACTCGTTGCCCTCTACGGGAATGATACGGTAGCTGCGGAGTGTGGGACCAGCCGCCACAGCGTAAACGTTGGCACTTTCTGCAGTCGGCAACCGCCCAAATACGTCTTTTGCAAGCGTGCTTTGCCACGCGAAGCACTGGTCCGTAAGACTTTCAACGTCCAGGAGTTGGGTCACGCTGCCCCTTTCTCGAATCGAGACTCGGTCGCCGTAGTCACTTGAAGTCGCCCAACACGGCAAATTAGCCACGCGTCCGGCTCTTTGTCACGACGGTCCGTCCAAGCGGCGGATTTCAAACGTGCAGCACCAGCACATGTGTCGTGGATGGTGGCAGCAGCGCCGTCCGCGTGGTCCACAGCGACGATGTCTACAGCAGAACACGCGCGTTTTGCATAGCGCGTGATTGGTCGCGCAGTACTGTCCTCGCCGACTCGAGTTGCGATAGAGTACCTGACACAGTTGCAAATGTGGATGGGGCAGTAGAGACCGAGAGAGGCGAGAGCGGCCGTCTGTGTTCAGAGGTGGACTCGGCTGAAATCGAAGACGTACAAAAGTTGTCGGGAACGCATCGTCGTTTGTGCATGTTGTCGTGAGTGGCGCAGTCTTCGCATTGCCCAACCCGACATTGCCTGCAGATGCACCCCCACCAGCATTTGACACAGCCACCGTACAATGTGCCCCCGGAAGGATACAAGGACGCAACCGACGGCACTCCCCACATGATGTTCGACCACCACACACATCGTTATGTGTACGAAGACCAAGTGCCCCACCACAGCCACCACCTCCAACAGCACGTGCTACATCCACACGTCGACATGGGCCAGTGGCCGCAGCCCAGCCCTCACCACGATTATCCACACGACCCAGACGCGACGCCATGGAGAGCCACGTACCAACCGCCTCTGGCATATTCCACCATGCCCGAGTCGACAAACTCTGCTGACTATTTCCACCAGTGAGTCCCCACAGTCATCTTACATCGCAATGCTCAAAGATTCAACACAGGACTGTGCCCAGAGCACCACAACTCGACGACCGACACTACCCTCACTTGACTGCGCCCTACACGATAATACCATGCGCCGTTCCCATGTTGCCTCCGTCGTTGCCATCCCATCTCGACTCTGGTACACCAATGTAGCAGCCCGGACGCCGACGTCGCATAAGGAGGTTGTATTAGGGCGGTCGTTGCCGTTTGTCGCAATGTCGTCGGCTGTTGACTTTGCCTCGTCCGTCGATCCCATGAAGCCAAGCGTTGTCAACTTCGTCAACGTGCAGCCACCACCCGACTACGTCGAAGTGCCAAATCAATGCCTCGAACGAGATTGCATGGCAGTCATACGATATCGGGGCTACTGCAAATTGCACGGCGGGGCTCGAAAGTGTTGCGTTGTGTCGTGTACCAAAGGCATTCAAGGGCGCAATCGATGCATTGCACATGGCGGGGGCAAGCGATGCCAGCACACAAACTGCGTCCGCGCTGCCCAGTCGCATGGTCTTTGCAAGTCCCATGGTGGCGGAACACGCTGCAAATTCCACGGGTGCCCCAAGACGGCCCAGGTAGGCCGAACACTCACAGTTGTGTCGCCTATTCCTGCGATCTTACTTTGTCACGGGCAGGGTGGGGGTTTCTGCCGAATGCACGGTGGTGGTCGCAAATGCAAGTGGCCGGGGTGTACGAATAGCGCCCAGAGAGAAGAATTGTGCGCGAAACACGGCCAAAAACGGATCTGCAGCGTCCTGGGATGCGATCGAACCGACCGTGGCGGCGGGTTCTGCATGAATCATCGCAAGGACAAGATATGCTGCATTGTGACTTGCACCCGCCTCATCGCCACGACTGCTTTTGCCGGCCAAGCGACCATGTGTGCCCACCACGTGTCGGAGCACGTCGCCGCCACGACAGACCCGCTGCCGTTCTCGCTCGGCGACGGGGCCAACTCGCAAATGAGCCATGTCATCATCACCAACCATAACGTTGGTTGATTATTCAAAGGGCTTTCTTCGTCGGATCGGTAGTAGAAGTTGGCCCTCTCGATGAAGACAAACCAGTGCACATGAGATGGGGGTGCTCTGGTGGTGAGGGTCGTCGGGGGCACTCGTGGCTGGCTCACACGCTCTGCGCGTGCAACGTTTAGACGAGGTTGTAAGTCAGAGCAAGATTGAAGAAGTGCTAGATTTGTGTAGTCGTTGCGTTGACCAGCGGCGATTGCGATGCACGACAGGGCAGGTGGGATCATATATTATGAGTAAAACTTGGACGCTATCGAGTCTTCGGCATCGCCTGGTGCCACAGGCGTGGGCTGCACGTATCGATAGTCGACAACGACAAGGCCCATCTTTCGGAACGACGAGATGTACCCGACAACGCCAGATACGTTGGCCGTAAACTTGTCCAGGTCAAAGTTCTCCGGCACTTTGACGACGACGTATTGCGTTCGGCCGACAAGACGCTCGCACACGTCGGCGAGGGGAGTGTTGCCCAGAAAGAGGTCGACCGTGCACCGAGAGCGGTACTCGGGGCCACCCCACGGCGGGTCCACAAACACAACGTCCTGGCTAAAGCACTCGACTACGTCCACGTAGTTGGCGCAATAGCATTGGACGTTGACAAGCGACATAACCGCGTGGAGGTTGTGCACGAGCATTTGAAATCGCGTCGCATCGATCTCGACGGCTTGGACGTAGCGGAAGAATGTGCAAAACGAAGCGGTGTTGCCGCCGACACACGCAGTCGAGTCGGTCACGATGGAGTCAGGGCTGAGCCCAGGCAAGGCCGAAATGAAGTGCGAAATGCGCGCCGCCGTCTTCATGTCCGTGACGCTGTACTGCGCGACGTCGTCGAGTTGCATTTGAATGCGTAGTTCCGGCGGGAGACCGCCAAATAGAAAGTCACGCTTGTCGTTCGGATCGTTGGTCGTCTTGTTCTTCTTCAAGAGCGACTTCGACACAGATCGACTTGTCGGTGTTTGTGACGTGGGTGACGAGGCGGTTGACGTGGACGGAGGAATCGACAAGGCACTGGGTGACGATGTTGTCAGTGAGTTCCACAGGGACAGCTCGTTTGTGTTCAAAGGCCGGACCTCAATGTCGTGGTCACCAGTCTGGTTGTTGGCGGCGTCGGACACCGTTTGCCATGAATCTGTGTCAATTTTGTCAGCATATACGATGGAATCGTTGGCTGGCAATGGTGGAGATAGTTCGAGAGATGCAAACATGGCCATGATGTCCTTGGAAGTATCGTCATCCGTTCTGTCATGTGTGGCCTCTTGTCGAGGGTTGGTTGGTGTGCGTTTGCTGCATGACGAGGCCCCATGGGCCAGCGAACACGTAGGCGATGACGCGGGCTGGGTGGACGTTCGGGGTGACGTTCGCATCATGCGGAGCGAGGGATGTGAACTGGTGCGCAACTCCACGGTCCTCTTCACTGAGCGGTCGAGGACGCGCCCGCCCACGACATGGACCAATCACCTGCTTCCCTGTGCTCGATGCGTCGAACACCTCAATTCGTTTAACGTTACTACGTTTCATGATAAAACCTGCGCATTTTGTTGAAAAATGCAAGTTTTAACGGTTTAACTTGCTGGAATAGGCTTGGGTAAAATCATGGTCGCGAGGATACCAAAGAGACATGGCAGAATTGTAGTTGCATGGCTCTCTCCATTCGGTGACGCCACGTAATATAATGCACCTGAACTTGCTTATATTATGCAAAACTAAAAATTCCTATAAAAACATCCTCACTATTGGAGACCGGAAATTCTGCTGTGTTTTTGCACGCCGGTCTTTGGGAAGTTTTGGTGTGAAATCGATAAATGCGTTATTTTTCGACTAAAACGTGGAAAAATCGTCGGATTTTCGGAAAGAATTGCAATTGCACCATTAAACGGGTGTTCGGATGTATTCGACGCCCCCTCATTATCCGGATATCCACTTCTCCCGTGTCGCGTCGACCGAGCCAGGGATGGCGAGGAAGTACGTGCGAGTGCAGGGCCAAGTCCAGAAGGTGATGTTCCGTCAGACTCTAATCCGAGCGATGATCAAGCGCGGCTTGACAGGAGGAGCGTCCAACAACCGCCAGCAAAGAGACGTTGTCGACATCACTATGGACGGTGATACTGATGTGATTGACGACCTTGTCGAGGCACTGCGCACGACCAAGCCACTCAATAGTTGGGGAGCACAAGTCGACACTATTAAGGTGCTTCCATCAGGCGTGGCAGTTGATGCCCATCAGGTGGTTTGCATACGTTGGGTGCTCGATGTCTCAACTTCAGGTGCGACAGGTCACAACCACCAACGTCGACGATCGCTCGTGGAACCCGAATGTCGAGATGTACCTGTGATATTTGGTCTTGCCGACGTCATGCGCATGAATGCAGGATGTATTTTTACTCTGGTACAGCTATACGCCATGGCACCGTGAACAGTGACAGGGTGACAGGATCACTGGGATTGAATGCTCTCTCAGCCGGCAAAACTTAGTTCAACGTGTATTCCGAAGTAGACTGTCGACCTACTTTACGGAATCGGGAAGACGACAACGGCGGGGGCCTCGTGGTGTTTACACAAGGTTGTGGTCGATGGTGGAGTTTAGGGCAGCGGTGGAATCCCCGAATGACTCTTGATGGCCACGAGGGCATAATTAAGCACACTCAGGTTCAGGTGCTCCAGTGCCAGCACAGCATGAGACGCAGATGGAGACGTGTACCCAATCGAGCGAAGCACGTTTTCCACCGAGGGGTAAGCTGTAAGGAGAGGGCGGTAGCGAGACTGGTCGTCGATGCGAATGCAGTCGGAGAGGTCTTTGTCCATAATGACGGATGACAGCATTAGCTCAAGGGACCGCAGCACCTACGACGCAAACTCTAGACCCGCGTTCGTTCATTCGATGGAGAAGGGACGAACCTGGACGCGATCGGGAAGTTGCGGAATATCCACATTGAGACAGTCCAGCGCTCGTTCAATACCATTCATTTGGGTGTGCGTGGGGGGGCTGAATGGCTGTGACGACGCTGGGCGTTGATTGAGGCGGGCAAATGCAAGCATGGCCTGGTGGACGAGGTAGCTATGGTCGGGATGTGTCGAGTTTTGCTGTTTTTCGAGTTGGGGTGGTGGGTGGGTCTGGCCTTGATGGCTCAAGCCCCCGACTTTGGTCGGACGTGCGTTGGAGTGGGTCAGTTGCTGCGGCGGTCGCGCCAATTCCCTGCACATGACGGAGCTCGTTCAATGGATACGATGAAAAGACGTCGTCGCTACCGGGCCTTGAGTAGGGCTTGTCGCGCTGACAGACTTGCTTTCATACAGTCAGTGAGAGCGGGGGGCTGATGCGAAGAGGGGAGTCGGAGCGAGGTGACTGGAGCGCCATGGACTACTCTTGGATGAAAGATAGTCGTGCCATGTGGTGCAGAGACAGCAGCTGTGCGGGCACTGTTTGGATCTCGAATCTATGTCGTAGCAGATTCAAAATGACGAGGGATAACACGATGCTTTACCGGATGCGTCAATGGACTCAAATTGTTGTGTTCATTATTTGGCGTGATTGCAGGGCGGCTCGTTGGAGGATTCATCATGGCGTTGCTGGGGGTATTCCTTCGATTGCTTGGAGGATGGACGGGGTTTTCCATGGAAGAGTCCATCCATTGCTGGGATGGAAATGGCGGAGGCATCGGACGCTTCTGTCGCGTCGGCTGGGGGGATTCTGGCTGCGGTTGGAACTCGGCCATGAGTTTGCCGTAGTTGTGCGTCGCATATGGACACTCGGTGTCGTCCGTTGTGTTCGTTTGAAAGCTGACCGTGGATTCCAAGTCACTTGCTTGATTGAACGACGATGGGTACGGGAGCAGCGCAAGTTGCGACTGCATTTGCGAACTGCACGGCGTTGGTTGGGGACATGTCAAGAGGTGCTGGTGGCGACTAGTCAGTAGTTGAGCCTGAGGCAGGAAATCACGCCTGTTCATGATTCCTGCACGTCGTCTCAGTGGGCATCCTCGAGCCAGAACAGTATTGTAACGTACGATCTGGTTGCGGCGGCGGCGGCGTCAGGACAAATTCCGAGACAGCATTCTCATCATCGTCGAATTCAAGCACGGGACGGGGGGTCGACGCCAGGTTGGCAGGGGTGCGTACAAACGTGGGAGTTGTTGAGGTTGTGGCGGCGGCAGCAGCGGCCTGCTTTGACCGCTACGACGAAGCCAAGTTGTCAACATATTCGAATCGAACCATGAAACAACACGATTCAAGATGGCGTACGTGCACCGTGTCGTAAGCCAAGGCAGGTTGCTGCTTGTACCCGTGTCGAGACACGAAATTCAAGGACGCGTAGTCACTTTTCTGTTGAACAGGATCTCGCACCTCTTCTGGATCTTCGTCGTCCCAGCCGCGCTGTCGGCCGCTCTGGAGCGGCGGCGACTGCAAATAGTCCACGACACTGGTGTCGACGTTCACGGTACAGACAGAGCTCCCGCAGTAGTCGTCCCTGTACAAACCAGCATGGAGTCATTTTGGAGTCATGCGCGACGCCCTCCACAAATTCGATTCACCCAACTGTCATAATATATTCTGTCGGCGAACGACATAGGCGTCAACGAGGTGGCTAGGAACGACGACGAAACGTACGATATCGCGTGATTGCATCGAGCACGCATCATGCAGACCGTGCAAATGCGTACGCGAGTGAGACCAAAGTTGGTGGCGTCGATCTCGCGATGTGGCGAGCACATGTTGCATACGACTACCAAAGTCAGCAACGAATTGAAAACAAAACCAAAGTACCTTCGCCACATTGCCGGCAATGGTGCTTTCGTCGAAAGAGAAACATCTTGAGGCATACGGCGCACGTCCGCCGGTCTGTGTCTGGGATCCATCGCGACCGCTCGACAAATTGCATCCGGCCCAGCCTGTCTCGATCCAGGTACATGGCAAACTCGCGGACAGCCGCGACGCGTCGGAACATCATGAGCTCCAGGTCCCTCGGATGCGCGGGCTGCAGTCGCGCGTTTTGGATTTGGCAGAACGACGTGAGGCGTACGGTGTGGTCACGGCTCGTCGCTGTCACGAGAAGCCCTGTGCGCTGAAATGTGTCCCGCTGCAGGCCATAGTGGGCAAAGTCGGGTACTTCCTTGTCCATGGACACACTCTGCTGAATGCAAAACCCCATCTAGAGCACAGCATGTGCATGGGATAATGGCACGAGAGGAATCACAAGCACCTTTTCGTGGACCTCGGTCTCCTTGTGGATGCCTGCATACTCGAGAAAGCAAAAGTCACTGCCGAGACCCTTGCCATTTTTCGTCGGAGGTTGCAGCACACACCACTTGAGTGCTGTGTAAAAGTACGCCGGTCGGTTTTGCTTGGTGGTCGGCAGTTTATGGAGACACACGCCATCGACAAAGTTGGCGCCGTACAGACCTCGCATCTGCTTGCGGTACTCGTCCGTTTTGCACGACGCGATTGCATTCATCACCTGCGCCAGATCTTGCTCTATCATCCAGGATACATTGGTGTCATGTGTCACCTTGTTACCTTGGAGAACGACGCGTTCACGATAATCGTGGAGCGATACAGCATGGATGATGGCGCACGCTGCGAGTTATTGTCCATGTCGACAAAGCGGGTCTTCATAACTTGCGGGCCGTCCACCGATGCCGCTTGTCCTTTTTCCTAGTCAAGCCCCACACATTGCATCAGTGATTGAGAGAAGCGTGGAGAGGTTGTGTGTACCTCGCATGGGACCCATTGCATTGCTTGCGGGTACCGCCCTTGAAACAGGTCCTGCATTCCGCGCAGTTTCTCCTTGGCAAGTCGACGCAAGTGCGCTTCGTCCTCCTCATTCAGCTTCACGGGGGGAAAGAACTTTGGCGGCACGGGCAGTAGCATCGTGGAGGTGGTGCAGATTTGTGCCATCGGGGTTGTCTGCCCCATGCCATCCTTTGATGAACATCCCCACCCTGCTGGGGGTATTCCTTCGATTGCTTGGAGGATGGACGGGGTTTTCCATGGAAGAGTCCATCCATTGCTGGGATGGAAATGGCGGAGGCATCGGACGCTGCTGTCGCGT